ATACATCAAAAAGGCTCTGGGTCAAATCTTACTTCTTCCATCATATTTCCAGGGTTGTATCCAGAAGTCCAGTTCTAAGAACAATCAATCAGAGAAGCACTGTAGCGCTATTTCATATTTTCCTCTTTGATTGAATTCTTCTCATGAAAAAAAAATATAGAAAGATTTCAAGGGAAAAGCAAGATCATTCTTATGATCTATACAATTATGTATATGAGATAATATGATTACAGATTCATTCAGTGACTGTTTGAAATTACAGTGGCACTAAAAAATGGACTTACAAGCAATGTCCAAAGTTACAGTCATTGCGGTACCTCACGGTCACCTAGTCAAAATTCAGATGCTGAGCAGCACTCCTTCTTAAGACTGCAGAGGTGTTGTAATGCTCCCAACTGCCTATCTTCCCTGATCATGTTTTCTAGCCATGCATCCCATTCTCATGATCTTTTGGAAAACTTCTGGTTGGACATTAATGGGAACCTGAAGGAACTGAAGATTAGGATTAAAAGGGAAGAACAATTAAATTTGACTCACTAATACAGAATAGAGCAAAATACTTTAACATTGGACATATTGAAGAATATTTTTGAACAATGAAGAATAATAGTTTTACTAGAGAAGACTGAGCTTGATCTGAAAGTGGATTTAAAATTGACAGGCTACAAGAGTGTTATGGGTGGAAATGGTATATTGAATATATAAATGTAACTGGTTGGTGTCTTAATAATTAAAAGGGATTTACGAAAGAGATGTATCAAAATTTTACGAGAAAGAATAAAGAAAAAATGAAAAGAAATCAAGGTTTAGAATATTATTTGAAGGGATTAAAAATTAAGATTGTTAAAAGTAAAAGCAAGGAATATAAAGTTGGTTTATTTGATCAAGGTTAAATTGGATAGTGTATATTATTATCTCTAGGGGATTTTTACTGATCATGAATGAACAATAAGATTTAAAATATTTATTTATAGAAAAGAGATATCAAATAGATATCATTTTTTGTACTTTAAGAAAAGCTGATACGTTGCTAAAATTGTTTACATTGATGTAATGAAGTCATTTCTTTATGTATTTCTTTTCTTTTTCTTTACTATAATCTTTTTTTCTTTCTTCTCTCTTTTTCTTTTGTGCAGTTTTATTTTTTCTTTTATTCTTTTTGTTTGAATTCATTGTTCTGCTTTCAATCATAATGTTTAATAAAAAAATTATTTAAAAAACGATTACAAAACACTAGGTTGCAACCACTCAATATCCTAGCCATAGCCTAAATGTCATTTTTTTTTCTAGTCAGGAGACCATAAACACAGGCAAAAAGAAGGATCTTTGTAAATATGTCCATGATTTATGTAAAATGTGTATTTAATGTATTCTTTAATAGAATTCTTCAGGAGCAATAATTGGCCCATGGCCAGAATTCTCATTCTTTATCCTAAAGTTATTTTCAACTTAAATTTGACTCCTAATGCTTTGTGGACATGTCCATGTAGTTTTCTTGATAATAATATAGAATTAAATTCCCACTGCTCTCTTCTGAGATCTATTGCAGTTCTGTAGCCTATGGCCTAACAATCCTTGGAGAACACTCATTATAATAGTTTTTGAACCTAACTGCTGAACCCTTTCCCATAAAATACAAAGCTGTTCACATTGCAACCGTCATAAATGTGAATCAGTTACCCAAACACCTGAATTTTGAATTTTGATGAAGGGGCTGCTATAATGGTCATAACTGTGAAAAATTGTCATAAGTTTCTTTTTTTAGTGCCTTTGTAGCTTTGAATGGTCACTAAATGAACTGTTGTAAGTCAAGGACCACATATCCCTAGGCAGATTAAAAGAGTAACCTTTTCTGAGTGAGGAATGCCAGGTGGTTGCCCAATTTTTTGCTGAACAGTCACAGACAGGACTAGGATACGGTTCACACTCAGCTCACACCGACACCATTGTCTGCATGAACTTGCGAGGAAAGATAAGAATAAACTCCACCTCCTCCCATCCCCTATCAGCCATCTTGATCAAGATGTTGCAATTTTGCCTGGAGGGATCAGTGGAGGAAAAGAAGGAACATCCCCACTTCAATTCAGTCTGGCTCATTCTTCATGCTTTGAGCTTCCTCAGTTCTAGTGCTCAAGTGAAATCTACTAAATGTACCGAGGTGTTTATTTCTTTAAAAACTAAATATGGTGATACAAAACCTATTTTAGTGTAAGTCTGTTTTTGGAAAAAATATCATTCAAAACCTGAACGGCCTTTTCTTTTTTCTGTAGAACCATACAAATATCTCTAAGTCTCAGGATGATGCTATATTTCCTTTCCTTGTCCTCTGCTTTTCTGCTTTCCTTTCCATAGTATATGCCTTGCTAAATTCTGGTGCTTATTCCTTTTTTGGTCTTATGTTCTCTCCCTTGTCTACTGGAGGAAATGATAAGTCTTTTGGAGAGACATTTTTTTGTTTCCAGCCAGCTTTTTGGAATGGTGACTAAGCACTGCCCTATACAGGTTTAGGGAATTTTGCCTGCAGAAAAAGCAAAATTTCCTGGCAGTTTTTCAGAGGTTAATAGGATGCAGCAAGTCAGTACAATTTATTAAAGGCTGCCAAAACATGCTTATGATCCCTTTTTAGAGAGTTTTGCCTTTCTAACTAGAGCACAGAGAGACGTGTGATGATGCAGATAGAATTTTGCATTTGACTATCTTTCAGCCAATTCTAGATTTCACTTTTTTATGGTTTTATACCTGCAGAATTGGACATTTTTAGTCTCAAAATCAAATTTGGTTTTAATCAAATTAATGTGTTTTAATTAAATTAATATGGCATGTCTAATAAAGTGATCTTCAGAAACTATATTAACTTTAGCATACCACAAACAATTCTACCACCCAAACTTCAAATTGTCTCTTTCTAACTCCAATAATCTTCTAGTTCTCAGCATCACCCAATCTCTCATATAGATTAAATAACAAACTGCAAAGTATACTTTTAAATCAGATATAGCCAAATCTCCTGTCTCATTAGCATCTTTAACATCTTAAATTTAACTCACTCTTTTAACACTTCTACATATTTTTTCTTTCTGCCATTATTTAAATGGTACATTAATTGTCAAAACAGATATTGTCTGAAACAAACATTCTAGGCAGAATATTCATTTAATCACAGAAAATCTTCCCAATAATGACAATTTTAATTTTCTTTTTCTTAATGTAACTTTTTAAACTCCATTTCATATTCTAACATAATTATTTGGAACAACATATAATTTATAATTGTCAAATTAATACCCAAACATTTTACTTTTTCTCAGTCTTAAAAACTGTTTTGTTCATCAATTCTGCTAGATCTTCATATTTTATTAGCATATTCTGTTTATTAATTTTAAAACCACATAATGCAACAAATTATTTTAATTTTCTTATTAATAATTTAATCCCTTTAAAGTATTTTCCAAAACCAGCATTAAATCATCTGTAAAAATTCTCAACTTGCATTTTTTAAAATTTTTACGTCCCTTTTCCTATACTCTTTCATTGTGCCGTATATTTCCATTTAAAACTTCAAAAATCAAAATAAACAGAAAAGGAAATAATGAATAACCTTGTCTGGTTCTTCTCTCACAAGGTTTTGTTAGATCTTTATTAGTAATTATTTGTGCTTTCTGTGAGGTATAAATGGATTTAATCCATTTTATAAAATTGTCTCCAAATCCATGTCTTCCAAAACTTACTTGGAACAAATATCCATCTGGCACTTGAACTTCCTATTCCTGTGCAAGAACCTGTATTTTATTGGCTGTTGTCAGGCTCCCATGGGCCCATGTACAAATCCTAGGAGTTTGAGCTAGGTTTGGTTGAAGTTTCTGAAGGTGATGCAATGAAGGGGCATTGGGCAATTCCTATTGTTGCTGAGAGATAATCCTATCTTCGTTGGATCTTGGGTGAGGGTATTTGCTTATGTCTCTTTATCTCTTAAGTGCTGACATCTGCTGAGGGCTATTAAGAAATATAATATTCTGCCTTTTTATTATTTCCTAAAGTATTTCATTCTTGCAAGAGAGAGGTAGTTGCTAACTTTCTACAACTTTAAATAAAAAAGTCCAATTTAAATTGTCAAAATCTTTCATTGCATCTACAAAAATTAATGCAGCTTGTTTTTCATTATGCTGTTCCAAATGTTCTATAATGTTCATGACCTTTCTGACATTATTTTTAACTGTCTTTTAGGTAAAAAAAATACACATCGATCTTCACTAATAAATTCTTCAAAATTAGTTACAATCTGTCTATTTAAGGCATTGCAAATAACTTATAATTCACTATTCAATAGTGATATTTGTGTGTAATTTCTTGAAGTTAAATATTGCCCCTCTAGGTTTCTTTCCTTCTTTCTTTTTTCTTCTTTTCTTTCTATTTTTTTTCTTTCCTTCCTCCTTTCCTTCCTTCTTTCAATTTGTATGCCTATGTGCTTCTTATCTCACAATTCAAGGCAATTCACAGCAATTAAGAGCAATCTAAAAATCATGAGTTCTGAATGGAGCGGTAGTGGTATCTTTATTGTTACTGCATCAAGTACCTCCAACCAAGAGCTATACCTTCAGGGTCCCATGGCAGCTGGTGAAGCCAGGTTTTAAGGCTTTTCCTGAAGGTCAGAAGAAAGGAGGTAGCTCTCACTTCCAGTGGCAAGATATTCCAAAGGACAGAGGCCAAGGCAGAAAAGGCTTTTCTCCTAGACTCCAGCAGCCAAAATTCCTTGGCTTGTGAAACCTGCAATAAGCTTCTTCTGCCAGATTGAGTGGGGCAGGCCGATCCTATTGGGAGAAGTTGGTTCCTCATATATCCTGCACCCATGCTACACAGGGCTTTAAATTCAACACTTTGAATTGAACCAGGAAGCTGACAGATTTAATTTAATTTAATTTAAGCAACAACTTTATTAGATTGGACTTTGAGAAGTTCTCAGTTCCAAAAACTTATTGTTCTTTCTGTTCTCCCTCCAACAGTTTATGCCAAAACCTTTCTCTCGCTGTGATTTCACTGAAAATCTTCTTCAGAATGGCTGCCCAAAAAAGTATATAGAGGATCCAGCCAGCCAGACCTTCATACTGGAGGACAGACCTCTCAGTGCCAAAGGATCAGGGAGTGACATTACCCAAATGACTCCACAGAAGATTGAACTCCACCTGCGTCCAGGTAAAACCAGATGCAATACTTGTTTTACCCACAGAAAGTCTTGGGTTCATTCCTCACCATCTCTAGAGAAAAAGTAAGAAATAGAAAAGAAAGTATCTATGTAAGAGTTTGAAGAACTGCTTCACTTGAACTGATAATACTGCAAACATGGTCCAATAGTCTGAGACAATATGATAATAGCTTGATAGTTTCAGAGCTATCCTATGATAGCTTCAGAGCTACATTGACTTGACTATTAGCTGTCTATTCAGAATGGACATATTACCTTCCGGCAATGATAGTCAACTTTTGAGATCTTGTGGGCATACTGGGAATCTGAGGACAAACTGCAGCTGCTGTTCACAAAATGGCCACCATACTGGGTATGTCCAATCTTTCAACCTTCATTTACTAGAAATGCCTACTACCCTTTAGCTTTTGGGGTAAAAACAGGTTTAAACAAGCCTGTGGGGGTTGTTGTTGTTGTTGTTGAGAATGTGGGCACATTTCCTGGCAACGCATTTGGCAGCAGCCACCCATTATTTTTATTTTTCATGAATATAAGGCCTATCTGGTGCATAGAACCATTCTTGGAAATAAATATTGCTGCCTTGTCTTGTTATATGTCTTTTTTATTATTTGTAATTATATACTTGAGTTTTGTAAGCCACCTAAAATCATCTGGAGTGAATGGCTATAATAAGAAACAATAATATGAATTTGCACTGTTTCATATCACTTTATCACTTGCTGATTTTTATTAATATGTAAAGATGTTGGCTGAAGCAAGCAATCTTGCAGTGGCCAAAAGAGATGTCTGCAGATGTGTTTGTGGGTCATCACATTATTCTGCTGTGATTTGGAATATTGATCCTGTATGGCCAGAAATATCAATCAGGGGAAAAAGAATGGGGCATGTTTGAGTTAGTTTACGATAGCATGAGTCTGTAACAATGTAACTTAGAAAAATTTGGAAAGAGTAGACTAGGTTGAAATCTTTGAAAAAACGTTCAGTCCTTATCTAATTTTGCTATTTCAGATGACTCCCAAACTTTCTCAATACAAGTGCGCCAGGTGGAAGATTATCCTGTGGACATTTACTATCTAATGGATTTGTCTAACTCCATGAAGGATGACCTCCATAATATCCAGAACTTAGGTACCAATCTTGCCATGGAAATGCGCAAAGTGACAAGCAACCTGAGGATTGGCTTTGGAGCTTTTGTGGACAAACCCCTGTCCCCTTACATGTACATTTCCCCTCCAGAGGCCATTGAAAACCCATGCTATGAGTAAGTTCTCTAGTCAGAAGAAATATCTTTGTTAAACAAGCCTGAGTTCCCCAACTGCAACTGAGGTAGCTCCCATCACCTTCTGCCAACTTGGTCAAAAATCAGAGAGGAAGGGTGTTGCAGCCTAGAAGCATCTCAAACACTTCAGATTTCCTAATGCTAAAATTTATAGTCTGTAGTTCTAAACATTGCTAAATATGTATTCCTATTACCTCTTTATCTTAAAAATGTGCAGACAGAATGAAATGTTTATTTCTTAATATCAGGTAAAATCTAGGGAATTTTATGAATTTTATTTTATGTAAAATAAAATAATAAATTTTATCCATTGGTATAGCTGGCCATTTTAACAAGTAACTCAAGTAACTCCAGGCAGCAAATAAACAAAAAAATAAATAAAAAATAAAGCCACAAATCCAAAATTAAAAAGCCATAGCAGTCAAGGAAAACATCATAGTTTACACCATGAATACAGCTAGGAGATGGATTCCTTCACACACTTGGGAATCTAGATCCAGACACAGAACCAGATCTTCAGAATCTTATGAAAAGCCAGGAAGGTTTGGGCCTTCTTGTTTCCTGTCTGAGGAGGTTTCATGGGATAGGCATTATAACAGAAAAGGACATCTTCTGGACTCTGTCAACCAACATTCCTTAGCTGATGGGATCCAAAGCGTGCTCATCCTGCCAGACTGGATCAGACAGACAGAAACAATCAGTGTGAGATAATCCCTCAAGAAACTCAGTCTCAAACATTGAAGGGCTATAAAGGTGTCAACCAGCCCCTTTAGTTATATCTGGAACCACACTGATTCACCTAGTAGTGGTGTTATATAGATGAAGTAACTCTAGGAGTAAGTAGTATCTGAGTTCCTACTTAGCTATTTCAATTACTTATTTTTTACTCTCACAGGAATAAACAGCTAATGAGGGCACTACCAAACTTCCATGTGTTTGGGAACTACTGTGACAGAGGGGAAGTGTTGGGTTAAGGACTCTTTTAATTGAGTTTAGAAGAAATTGATTGGGTTGTTTAGCTGGGAGGGTATGTAATTTGAAGCCAGTGTCTGTGCTAAATTCTGTGGACTTCTTTGGCTTTTCAGTTTCCTGTTTCCTTTTCTAAGCTTTATATCCTATGTTTTAGCTTGAAACCACCAGATGATCACTGCCTGCCAATGTTTGGCTACAAGCATGTCCTAGCTCTCACAGATGAAGTCAAGCGCTTCAACGAGGAGGTAAAGAAGCAAAGCGTGTCTAAGAATCGAGATGCACCTGAAGGAGGATTTGATGCCATCATCCAAGCAGTTGTCTGTGATGTAAGAGGCAATCTCTATTATCGGGGATTGAGAGTTTCTCAACAAATCAGTGCCAATTAAGTGGGCAAAGAAGTATGAATTGGATTCCCCTTTGGGGACCAGACATATTTTGTCTCCTAAACATCAGTCAACTCTATGTTTTTAGAAATCAACGATACTTAAATTGTCATATAATTAAAAGGATAGAAAGAGCATCCTGAATCCCAAGAATCAATTAGCCTACCTGCCTTTAAAGTTTTTTTCCCTTCTCAAATACGGGAGTGGGTAACTCCCAGATTTGAAACTCCCATCTCAAATATGGGAGTTTTTTTTTCTTTTTTTTCCCTCCCACTATTTATATGTATCTATGTTGCTATTTTGCATTGTAACTTTTTATGTTTTGTTTTATTATATGATTGTTACTGATTTTTACTATTGAATTTATTTTTTTTAAAAAGGACATGACTCAGCCCTATACACCACTTTTTCCCCTCCCATTTATATTTCAGCCTTAAAGGGTTAACTAATTTCCTGGGACTGGTGCTGTGAATATCTTTGTGGACTGCTTTATGAGGTTTTGTTTTTGTTGTGAACATATGGAGATTATTTTCTTACAGGACAAAATTGGCTGGAGACCTGATGCTTCCCACTTGTTGGTCTTCACCACAGATGCCAAGACACACATTGCTTTAGATGGAAGACTGGCTGGGATTGTAATACCCAATGATGGGGAGTGCCACATGAACAGCAATAACTATTATGAAGCTTCCACCACACTGGTGAGGGTATTTCATTTCATAGCCACAGGACTGGAATTAATATAGCTACAAAAATGGTTCCATTGCAGCGGATGATACACTTGGCTAGAATTTCATAAACTTTAAGTTTACTCCCGCTATGTTATCTAAGTTAAAAGTTAGTTTAGCCTTCCCTATCCTGGTGTCCTCCAGATAAACTAGACTACAAGTGCTGGAATTTTCAGTCACTGAGGCTATCTGCATACTAATCATTAGCACTATGAACAATAATGTGACTCCATGTTTGTCTATATGCTTATTCCTGATTTAAAAAATGGGGCTTTTGCCATTTTGATTTAACTTTCAGCTGAACTATCTTAATTTTTAGATAGAGTCATCTTATTGATGAGCGAGGCAGCATATTAAATAAACAAACAAACAAACAAATAAATAAACATGTTCTTACTCAGTAAAGGCATTGCTGTTCCTCCTTCATTAGCTACAAATTACTTGCTCCTTTAGCTCTTTTTTTCCCCCTCCCAGTGATGATACAGAAAAGTTGGTCTTAGAGTGTTTTGGGCTTTCAGAATGACAACAGCATTACTGAAGGACAGGAAGATGAAAAGAGGGAGGTCTTAGGTAGTCAGTGGGACTTCATAATCTGAAAGAGCATTCTGGATTCTTCCCAGTGCTTTTGGCCTTCTAAGATTCTCTGTACCAATAATGAGGAATATTTATAGCTTGGGGTTGAAATGAGGGGTCCTTGGTGCTACTGGGCTTCCTTGTTTTCTTGTAAATGTTTCATTACCCAAACTGGGAAACATCATCAGTGCTGGTAAAGAGTGGGGTTTGCTCTGTTTATATTCTAGTGGCTTGCTCTGACAGAACAAAAGCCATTAGTATAAAATGTAAACTGAGAGCAAACCCCACTGCTTACTATCACTGATGATGTTACCTAATTTGGGTAATGAAATGTCTATAAGAAAACAACCAAGCTCAGACAGCACCAAAGACCCCTAGATGCTGGCTCAGTGGTGGCCAAGGTTCTCAGCAAATTCTGAACAATGTTAGAGTCTGAACCTTTTTTGTGGGGGTTATATTGTGTACAGAGATACACTGCACCCTCAGTGATGATCCAATTACCAGTGATCTGGTAATTGAGACCAGATCATTCATTGTCCCATGAAGAATGCAGACTTTGCCCTAACTTTAACAATGTTCTCAAGAGCAGTAATTTCCCGTCCAGAATAAATCACATTTTTACACTAATTAGGGAGAAAGTTAAGGTGGTGTGCTTAAAATCTATGCTGGATGTAAAATCTATGCTGGTGGCTCTGCAACTTCTTCATAGTGCCATCCTAGATTGTCTGTCTTGCTCACAATAAAAGGCGACTGTAGATTGGAAAGAGGTCTTGAGAACTGGCCTTTTCATAGATAACATTTATACTGCAAATATCTTGAACATTTGAAAGAAAGGTGAGATATCAATGTTTTAATTAGGTACAGTACATAAAATAACTAGTAAGTGGCATATTTCTAGGTTCAATCAATTCCAAGCTAAGATTTGCAAGCAGATTACTCATTTGTCTCTCTTGATTTTTCTTCCCAAGGATTACCCATCCCTTGGCCTACTGACAGATAAACTCTCACAGAAAAACATTAATTTGATTTTTGCAGTGACTCAGAACATAGTTGGTCTTTACCAGGTAAGAAAAAACATTATGGTTAGGGGATATTGTGGGATGGAAAGTCGGAGAAATAGGAAGAGGTTGGTGCTATCTCCCTTTTAAACGTTTTTTAAAAAATCAGTCTGACATAGAAAAACTGTATCCCAATTTTCTTCGCCTGTATTTGTCCATTTAAGGGAATTCTCTGCTGTTTTCTTTTCAGAACTACAGCGAGCTGCTCCCAGGCACTACTGTAGGGACCTTATCAAAAGACTCGAGTAATGTTTTACAGCTCATTTTGGATTCCTATGGGGTGAGTCCATGAATAGGAATGTCTAAAAGTTTCACTGGGTTATTGTCAGGATTTGTCTGTTACTAGACGCAAAAGGTAACTTCTGTAGATGCCTAAATGTCAAACTGATGGGGGTAGTAATGTAATCGAAACCTTGCTTATTTAATGAGTATAGTAATTGTGACATACATAAAAAAGAATGTAACTTTGATCACATGGTCACAGATACCATCTTGACTTTTTTGACTTCACTCAAAGATGCTCTTAGCCATAAATAGATGTTTAAAGCAACAGCTTGTGCTTCCCAGCCCTCTGCTTCACTAACATTTGTCACCTATCAAAGATATAACACAGAGCCTTCTAATTTAGGGGATGAATACAAATAAGCGGTTAATTTCTAAAGAACTCTAGTAATTTTATTTGGAATTTAATCATTTAAAAAAAAAGAAAAGCCAGATAAAATAATTGATAAATCACTGCACTTGAGGGTTTTTGTTTTTGTTTTGCATTGTCCCCCGTCCCCCCCATGCATTTTCTGCCCCTGTGTTGTGGTTTTCTTAAATTTATTTGCTAAAATAATATTGTGTTATGATATGAACAATGAAGTTCTGTTGGATTGTTTTCCTTCAACTTAAAACTTCTGGCATTGCCTTCTTTTGAATATGGCAGCAGTATGGATATATATTTATGTAGGCAGATCTGAATCTAAATAATAAATGTAGATAGCATAAAACCCCAGTTTCACATTAAAACGTTCATAGCAAAGTTGTCCTTTGCATTTCTTATCTTTTCTATTAGCATTGAAATCCATCTCCTGTTTGGAGGGTGTCTTTGAATCCACCTGGACCCCTGGCATATCTATGCAGTGTTTTTGGCAAGATTTCAGAAGTGGTTTGCCATTGCCTTTTTCCTAGGTTGAGAGAGAGTGTGTGTATGTGAGACTGGTACAAGATCACCAGCTGGTTTTGTGCCTACAGCAGGACTAGAACTCAGCCTTTCCCAAAGTTCCAGCTGATGCCTTATCCACTACATCAAACTGGCTTTTTTGTTTTATGCTGACTGAATCACTGAACAGTTCCTTTTAATAATGAAGATTCCTATCCTGCAGCAGATGGATACTTACAGAAATCTACATTAGGAACTTTATGGCTGAACAATCCAATCCTTGATTTCATAAGAACATAGAACTGGAAGGAGCCATTTATGTAATGAATCCAATCCCTGCTTAGTACAGGAATTCAAAGCATCCTGAGCAGATAACTAGCAGTCTATTTCAACATCTCTAGTAAAGAGAAATCCAGCAGTCTTTGGATAATTGGTTCCTTGCTGAACTATTTTTATTGATAGAAAGATTTTCCTTAAATTCAGATATAATCTGCACCCCAGTAATAAAAATCTATTATTCATTGTTCTGTACTCTGAGCGGACTTTTCAACATTCTTCTTTGAAATCATTTAAGGCCTTTGAAGAGCTTGATCATATATCTCCTCAGCCTTCTCTTCTCAAGGTTCTACATCTCAATTTATTTCCATCTCTTTTCATAAGATGGTTCTTAGACCCCTGGCAATACCTCAGTGCTTTTCACTTCATCCATTCTAGTTTGTCTGAATATAAGGCTCTGCTATTAGCCACGATGGCCACAAAATGATAAAATATGCATCATGATACTGTTGACCAAAGAGACAACAATGTGATTGTGTCAGTCATGTTATTCTCTCTGACTGCAAATAGGTGTCACGTCATTTGCATTATAAGATGGTACACATGTCATTTGGTTTTCCTTGCCCCATATGCTACCTATTCATCCTCATGGTCTCAATCTCTCTCCATCTACTCAGAATGGAACATTGTATTAAAGGTCTGATTGTCGTAGGTTAAGGGAAAGCTATTGTCTCTTGTGATTTGGAAATACTCCTTCTGCTAATGTAGCCTTAAACTGCAGTTGCCTTTTTTTTTTTTTTGCAGCAACGTTACACTGCTGACACATTTTCAGTTTATAAACAACTTCTATTCCAAGATGTTTTTCACTGAACCAAAATAGTAGTTGAGTAGCTCTGCCTTTTCTTTGCTATTTGTTAGCATTTTGCCATCTTTACAGAACAGCTGTTGCACTAATTCTTTTCTTGTGAGTATATTGAAGAAGCTCCTTTTGTTATTCTTAGCATCCTTTGCCAACATCCTGCTGAGCTTTAATCTCCCCAAGTCCATGTCTACAGTTCTGGGCTACTTAGATGCCCCTCTTGTTTTCCATTATTTATCATACCAGGCTTTTTCTACTGTCCCCAATATGTTTCTCCCTGGAATTGTTACTGCCTTATTTTAGAAAGTCCCATCCATATTTAATTGCTTTTCCCATTAGTTTCCCCTGCCATGGAATTGAATTTTTTTTTGCTTAGACTTAAATGCAATTGAACTACTCTTCCCAAATGATCTAGATCAACTCTAAGTAATTTAGGTAGATTGAAGGAAATGCTGGAAGCATGATTAACTTTTTAAAAAATGAGCCTGACAATTTTAAATTGGGAAGACTAGCTGGGTTTTTGGATGAGGTGCCACTCCACAACCGGATGGAGGCTGATTTTATCTTTTCTGTCCTTCCTCAGAAAATCCGTTCCAAGGTTGAACTAGAAGTCCGTAATCTCCCAGAAGAATTATCCCTCTCATTTAATGCCACCTGCCTTGATAATGAAGTCATTCCTGGAGCTAAGTCTTGTGTTGGACTCAAGATCGGCGATACAGTGAGTTATGGGTGCACCATGTTAAGGCAAAAATAATTGCAGGGAGTTCCAATTAAAGCTACAATTAAGATGGTGATTTTCCATCATTTTAAAGAGAAATGTCATACTCTATTTCCAGTACTGTAAACATGCTATAGGGTTAAATATTAACCCCACAAGAGCTCTGAGAAACATTTATTGTAAGCTTTGCTCCAAGGTATTTAAAGCAACATTTCCTGAACAGAACATACATCTTTCCATTATCAAGCTAGGTTTTTGCCTCTATTTCCTGAGTCACCAGTCTGGAAATGATCACCTGATATCAGTCCTATTTTAGCAAATGTATTCTTGAAAAGAGGTCCATCAGTGTTTTTAAAAGCTCAACTATGATGAACAAGAATTAATTTTAATTAAATTTAGAAACATAAATTCCTGCAAAAGATAGGTAGATTTTGTGGTCAAAAAGCTGTTCCTTTTCTGCATTGTAGCAAAAAAAAAAAAATCAACACAAAATTTATGTTTTTTTAGTATCTGCATCCAGGCAGCAAATGTGTCACTATAATGTACTGCTATTACAAGAAGCACCATTTCAGTCCTTGCAGTCAAACAAAACAGCCAACCACAAGGAAGAAGCAAAAAATAGACATAAGTGCCAAGGAATCATGGGTCAAAAAGACCTCAATTATAGAACAGTACATTTTTTATTACAACAAATTCAATAAACTTGCTTCCTTCTATCTTTATGAACAACCTGTTTGTAAAGAACCAATAACACTTTGACATTTCCAAAGTTTTTCAAGAAGTCACACAAGCTCCTCTTAAGCTCAGAGAAGACACACAAGCTCCTCTTAAAGATTTGAGAGGAGCACAATTAGATCCACAATATATTTATTTCTGGAAAACTGGTACACAAAACAGATTTCAAATCTGGGCAGTTCAAAACATACTTTGAATATTTGTTTGTGAGAGATCATCCTCACATGTTCCTAGTTGCAATACAAAATTCAGGCTTAGGAACAGGGGTGGGATTCAAATTTTTTAACAACCGGTTCTGTGGGTGTGGCTTAATTGGTGGGCATGGCTTGGTGGTCATGTGACTGGCTGGGTGTGGTCAACTCAACATCATTCACATCAAGACATGCATCTCCTCACCTGGCCTCTCATGACTGTGGGGATGCTGCAACAGTCATAAGTGTGAAAAATGGTCATAAGTCACTTTGTTCAGTGCCATTGTAACCTTGAATGGTCACTCCACACAAGCAAAGTACCAGCAAAGGAGGGGAAGAAAAAATCCAGAGATGTTCCTGAGACAGGAAGTCTAGTCCTGCTAAGAACGTAATACGGGTTAACGGAGAGGCAGTTTCTGTAAGCAACATCAGAATGTTTCCTTCCTGCCTTCCTTACAGGATTAGGCCAGTAATTTCTTCTAACAACCGGTTCTCTGAATTGCCTAGAATGTTAACAACCGGTTCTAGCGAATAGGTGCGAACTGGTAGAATCCCACCCCTGCTTAGGAACCATTTTTATGTAATGCTTTTTTGAGACATTGCATCTCCTCTCCCTCACATTCAAGGCAGCTTAAAGTGATATGTAGCTATTTTAGTTTTAAAGAAACTTCTCTCTTCTCCTGACACAATTATTACTGGAGAGAGAATGTAGGATGTTTCATTGACAATGAGGCTAGTAATGCACCAATGGCCATCTGCGATCACCCTAGCTCCTTTTGCCTATTTTAGTCTGCCTTCTATGCACTAGTACTGTCCCCATGGCCATTTTGGTATTGACAGCCAAATAATCTATTTCCAGAAAGATTCTTGTCTGTAATGGTCAAAGCTAAAATGAATAAGCATTTGTTATTTGAATGAGCTATATGAACTTTAAATTCCTAAGCACGTTCTCTCCTCTTCCCAGGGTGAATGCACATTTTAAGAATCCAACTGCTTCCTATTGGAGAGGTAGAATTATATTAGAGAAAAGATATTCATTTATGTCAGTAGCATTTTAGTCTGCCCTTTAGCCTACGGCTTTTTGCCTTGGCAGACCTGTGAGACACAAAGTGAAAGAAAAAGATTGCTGTGTGTGGATAGTGAAGAGAAAATACTTTTCTGCAAATTCAGAAATTCTGTATATTGTCTCTGTCTGAACCATGCTAGGCAAGGATGGCAGTAGCAGGAAGTGGCTATAGTAGAAGAAAAGCCAAGATTTCTTATTACACAGCACACATAATATAGATTGTGACAATCATGGCTAGAAGGAGGACCTTCTCTCAGTCATTCATACCCTGGTCATTTCCCACATGGACTACCGCAAGGCATTCTACATGGGACCGATACTTGAACAGTATCTAGAAGATGGAACTGGTGCAGTATATGCCATAACTAGCAATTTTACACATTCTGAAGGTGGTACATATAATATCTCTGCTGTATGTGCCACAGGTGCCAGTTTGGTTCCGGGTCCAATTAAAAATGTTGAATTTAAAGCCCTTCATGGCATGGGACCAGATTATTTGAGAAACTGTTACATTGATCCATCCCACCCAGTCAGTCAGGGAAGGTTTGTATGGGCAGTGCTAATTAAAGAATCTCAACTGGCAACAACTAAGAAGAAGGCCTTCTCTGCTGCTGCCCCTGCCCTCTGGAACATAATTCCTCTCAATGTGAAATCTACCCACGCTTCCTGGCTTTCTGAAAAGGCCTTAAAACCTGCCTTTGCTGATTGGACCTCCGATGTGGGTGTTGCATACTGGAGATCGCTAGTGGATTAAGAAGATGTATTTAATTATTATGAGATTAGGATTAATCTCTACCCCATTGTATTCTGGTTCCTACTTTAGCTAATTTTTGTTAAATTGCATTTTAATATTTAATGTTTTATCACATTGTAAACTACCCAGAATTGCTTGATAATGAGATATACCTTTCATTAATTCATATCTTGCTCCCAGAAATGAGGTTGCCCCCCCCCTTCCCTTTTGGAAAAATGTGATGATCTTGGCTCTGTCAATCAATCCAAGAACTAAATAATAGCAGGCAAATTAGGGGTTGGTTGCTGGCCTGAGGATGCTCCCTTCACCTTTTAACTTAGTTAAACTTAACTTTTTAAACTCTGTTTTTATTTTGTTCTTTATTAATTTTGCTTTTAATTATGTCACTTTGAATTGGTTTTATGGTTTGTATTTGTAAACAACCCAGAGTCACTTGGATAGTGAGATGGGTGGTGTCTAAATTTGATAATGAAATTATAAAATAAAATAAATCAATGGTTACGATAGGAATAGAAATACTTAATGTAAGTAAGTAGTACTTACCTTTTGTTGTTGTGGTTTAAGTTTTTTGCCGTCCACTACACAATCCCAGCCCAGCTTATTTATGACATTGGAGATCAACTTAGGAAAAAAGAAATAAAAAAGAAGTTGAAAATGATTTGAGGGAGGGATGTGGAGTTGAACAACAATTGAACATTTTTCTTCCATCCACAATTTTTCCTCCTGAAATTAATGAGTGTTTCTTCCTCTTTTTATTAGTAATAGGTTAATTAAATATATGAAGATATCCATATAGCCTTCTTTGCAATCATGTGGAATTGGTTTCTCAAGGTTTCATTGCTGTTTCTGAACTTTACTGTACAGCCTGCAGCCCTAAATTTTTTAGTGGTCTCTCATTAAAATACTTGCAGGTTTAACCCTGCACAGATAATCCAAGCTGATATGTTCTATTGCCTGCTACAGGTGCATTAGCGTTACAAAGAAACTATACCCCTGTGCTGATTTTGCAACCAGTAACTCTGCCCAAACAATTATACGCTATTCTGGTTGATTTTTCTCTCTCTTTCTCCATATATACATCTAAACCAAATCTGATGTATTTAGGATATTTCCTTAACCTGAGTAATTCTTCCTCTTAAACTTCTCCCAAGGTGAGCTTCAGCGTTGAAGCGAAGGTCCGTGGTTGCCCAAAGGACCGGCAGACCTCTTTCACCATTAAGCCAGTCGGCTTTGAAGACAGCCTGACGGTTCTGTTGAAGTTTAACTGTGACTGTGCTTGCCAGGCGGATGCCGAACCTTACAGCAATAAATGTAACAATGGGAATGGCACCTTTGAATGTGGGATATGCCATTGCCACCCGGGCCGGCTGGGTTCCCAATGCGAGTGCTCTGAGGAAGAATATAGCCCATCCCAGCAGGACAATTGCAGCCCCACTCAGGGGCAACCAATTTGCAGCCAGCGGGGAGAATGCATCTGCGGCCAATGTGTTTGCTACAGCAATGATTTTGGCAAGGTATCAGGCAAATACTGTGAATGTGATGACTTCTCTTGTGTTCGCTTCAAAGGGGAACTATGCTCAGGTGAGTGGCATCAGCCTGAAGGAGTGGGATGGGCTTCTAAGAGCTGTAGATACCTACAAAGAAGAATGATTATTCCCAGAGAGTCTCCTTTCTGTCTTAAAAAACTCTACAATGTTTAAATACAATTCTAGTATAACAGTACAGGTAGTCCTTCAGTCCAAAATTTCTGTTGTTAAGTGAGACATTTTTTAAGTGAGTTTTGCCTCATTTTATGACCTTTCTTGCTATACTTGTTAAGTGAATCACTGCAGTTGGTAAGTTAGCAACCCAATTGCCAAGTGAAACTGGCTTCCCTACTGACTTGCTTGTCAGAAGGTCGCAAAAGGAGATCCTATGTCCTTGGCATACAGCAGCAGTCATGGATATGAACCAGTTGCTAAGCATCTGAATTTTGACCACATGATCATGGTGATGCTGCAATGGTCATAACTGTGAAAAACAGTCATAAGTCATGAGTTTTTCAGTGATGTTGTAACTTCGAACAATCACTAAACTAAGTCGAGGATTACCTGTATAATCTTTAAATATTACAATTTATATTTAAAGGTAAGATAAGATAAACAGAAAAAAGGCAAAGAGCAAAGAAAGAAAATATCATGATTTCCATCCTTCTTTCTACTGAATTGTTTCCTCTCCCTCTTTATATCTCTCTTCGCAGACAGGCAGGCAGCCTTATAAAATTATTTTGATTAGAAACTGATACTGAAAAAATCACGCATGTCTTTATCCTGTGGGAAGCTGCAGTGTTCTCATAACACACCTGCAAAAATGTAAATTCTTTAGAAAACACTTCATAATGAATAATTATAAATAGGATCAGAAACATCTGCAAGGATGTCAAAAGAAGTGCGAATAACAAAAACCAAGTTGCTCTATCACAATGAACTCTCCTATGTACATCATGGCACTGCACACATGTATGTAGGGATAAGGAATATTTAGTATTTGGTACACCTTTTCAATACATAGGCCTTTACATTTTTATTAAGGAACAGCAGTGTCTCATAGCATCCTCAGCAGCTCGCATAGCCAATTCATAACAACTGCTAAGAGGGATAATTCAGCAACATTTGGAGAACTAAAGTGTCTCATTTCTGGGTATATTTCAGGTGTTTTATGGCATAATCACATGTGGTTTGAAAAATAATAGAAGGAGCTATCTTTTTATTTCTCTATTTATGTCTAGGCTGTGAGCAAGCGCAGGAGTGTAAATATATCGCAGATTATTCATTCTCCTTCTGGCTAAAGAATAACTCAGATATTAAATTATCATTTGGATTGTAAACATACAGATGCAAAGTTATTTATGTTTGCCAGAGCAAGTTGGAATAACTATAAATACATATAATTTGTCATATAATTTTACTAAAATTGTTTGAGAAAGAACTGAAAAATCTGTTCCTTAAGAAAGAATTAAATCACAAGCTTGATATAGTAGGAGTTAGCAAAAAGTGTTTGTGTTTGTATGCCTCTAAAAGCAAGCTAAAACTTGCTGCTTAAGAAGAAAAAATAACAGTTAAACACTGTTTCCTACAATATAACCATTAACTTGGTGATCCAGATAGGACTCAATTTGCTTTCATGAAAGAGGAGGAAAGTGTTAGAAGCAGCTATCTGTTTGGAACTCATGACTGTTCGTGTGTGTGTGACTCAGTCTTAAAGGAAACAATTGCTGTGATTTGATTATGAGAAGTGGATGAATTGCACAGTACATGCTTATGTCTAGAACAACAATTCATTCTATTCCATGGAAGTTTCTGTATGTGTTGTAAAATACAACTATTGTGCAATGTGAGATGACAGGATGTTCCTCAACTATTGCTAAAGCAGGCTGGCCAGGTACACATCACACAACTTAATCATGTGTTTTTTCCCCAGAAACCTATTGCACTATTATGTTCTGCTAAGTGGCTACCAGAACAGTTAGAATTGATCTGGGCTGCAAAGTCTCATTTGGGCCTAATTTCCCATTTGAGGAGGACAGCCATGGCTTCCTCTCCTTAATAATAAAGAGCCAAGGCACAGTTTTGTACACAGTAACCTCAAGATTGCAACTTGGTACTACAAAGGGAAGGAAGGTGCTTGCTTTTCTCAAAGAACCCTTTGTGCAACCATTTCTAACTTGCTCTGAGAAAGATGTTAAAGGGCACTAGTTGTCTTAGAAATATGGATAAAAATGAATGTGGGGCTCTTAATGCTCTCTGAGCTTGGTTGTTTTCCTGAAGATGTTTCATTATCAAACTACATCACATCATCAGTACTAACCGTACTACTTGAAGTTTGCTCGAAACTGAATGTGAATTCTGAGTGGTTTTGCCATATCCCTTAATGGCCCTGCTGTATATTGTGTACTTCTAAGAACAATCTGTTGTCCAGATGAAGATGTTCCTCTACAAGAAAGATTTTCCTCCATATTACATTTCTTTGTGACATGGGACTTTAATTAATCCTGTGTATGAGAGCAAGTCAAGTGAAATGGCTTGCAAATCTGATTCTGAGACGTGGAGTTTAGCAGGAAAATCCAAAATCTAATCGGACATCTGTAATTGTTCCAAGAAACATTTCTATTTTTGCTGTTCTGCTTTCTAACCTTCCCCTTCAATATCTTTTGATGAAGCCGTTGTCTCTTGGTTTATTCCAGACAAGTAATTATTTCTTAGCTATGTGACAAACTCACAAACTGTTCCTAATATTGTATATATTTTCCTGGTACTGCTAGAGATTTTGTTCCAGCCAGCTGCTCATTCAGCTCATTTTCCCCATGATACACTGGAATTTCTCATTAACCAGTCTTCATTATCATTCGTCCTCTGCAGAGGGGGTTGTTGTCTGTCTGGCTATTTATCTGTTTGTCTGTCTATCTGCCTAACTGTCTGCCTCCTTCTCCCTTCCTCCCTCTGTTCATGAATGTGTATTAGTAGGTAAGTCAACACTATCGTAAAAATACTTCCGCTGATTATTTTCATGGCAGTTTTTCATAGAGGCCTCTAAGCTTTCCTCTCATAATGCAATAATGTTCTGATTCTAATGACTCCACTGCTTCAGTAGTTTCAAAGGGTCAGTGCACAACTGAACAAACTGTAAGCAAGGGCAAATCCTAGTTATTTGGCTACACTTAAGTAAACTATTAAGAGCAGGCACTTCGTTGCCTTTAGCTTTCCTTATCGTAGAGCAGTGCATTGGCTGATGAATTCTGGGGTTTGAAGTCCCCACATTTTAAAAATGCTGAGGAGATTGAGAAACACTGTTCTAGAGACACCATTTTGCACCATCTACAATGGTTAAATTAACAATTATATTTCAACCTTCCTGGGGTGATATCAGGGTGGTTAAAAGAAGTGACCCTGTGGTACTATTACAGACATTTTGACGGGATAGCAGCTGGTGAGGCTCAAATGAGATAAGCAAAAAGGTCTCCCATATATACTTGAGAATTTGACACTTCAGCCATTTGTGTTTTAAATTAATCATTTTATGTACACCAACATGCAGTACTGCATCCTGAGATATGACTCAGCTCTAACCCGTATGCATAAAATGAAGAGGAGTTGATGAAATATCACAAGTCTTTCTCCAGATCCCTGGGAAACTTGTTCAGTCCTGCTTGGAATGTCTGAAGAGAATCCCCAGTCTTTGAAGCCAATCTTGGGAAGAAGCCTTTTGTGGAAAAAAATAGGGAGAAATTCTCTATAACGAAGTAATGAAAATAAGTATTCGTTTAAACATTACTAACATTTGTATGACAAAAAAGAGTCAGAAAATAAAAATCACTTTCCTAAAATCAGTCAATGATCTCCAGAAATTATGTTACCCTTTTTAACTTTTGCATTTGTTTTCCATGTGTTTCGGGAGAAAGGTTGGGAAGTAAAGAGGAATTGACTTCTTTAATACTAAAATCGAGATCTTAGCATTAAAAATAAAGCTTTCTGAGAAGCATCCCCTCCTTCTCCCTTCCCTTCCATGGCCTCCATTACAGACCCATTTTCATATGATTGTAGGACATGGGAAATGCGTCTGTGGAGACTGTGCCTGCGACCCTGATTGGACTGGAGCATATTGCAACTGTACAACTCGGACAGACACCTGCATGTCCAGCAATGGGTTGATGTGCAGTGGGCAAGGCCGCGGATACTGTGCCTGTGGGAAATGTGTCTGTACTCAGCCTGGCTCTTTCGGAGAAACCTGTGAGAAGTGCCCAACCTGTCCCGATGCCTGCACCATCAAAAAGTGAGTGCCAAATTCTGATTTGGTTTCAAGAGAAAGAAATCAGTTCTTAATGTTTGAGCCTTAGGACTTCCCAATTACTCATAACCCTAGGTAATGGTACCTGCATTCTTCAGGAAAGAAGTTGATTTTTATTCCGCCCCAAAAGCCACCTACTCTTGACCTAATTTCAAGATTAGCTCTCTGAACTAAATTTTAAAAACATTTTGCAATTTTGGAATTCTGACCAAATTATCTTGGTCCCCACCAACAGCAAAGGAGACTAGGGAGGTTGCCTGTGATATTGCCTATAGCCCTTAGAAGATGGCCCCAATGAAACAAAGATTAAGTTTAGCACAAGTTTGTCAAATTCAAGTCCCAAGCTTTCAGGTGAGTTATATTTTAGGTGTTCTACTGCTTTTCCTCTAACACCAGGGTCTGAAATTTAGGATATTTAGAAGTACTAATGGTTTAGGTTTTCCGACTCAATGAGCACACAGAATAGTCAAACCTTCCTCACTTTTTTTTCCTCCACTGACAGTTTAAACTCTGGCAAGAAAAGATCCAATGGCAGTGATATAAGTGATGATACATAGCCAGCAAAATTCCTTGAAATTCAAATGATCACATGTCCTATCGCGACAAATGTATAAGTCCTAAATATTCTGCATTGTATGATGAGATGGGTGTTACAAACCTGTTTCTTGTTTTAATGTATGTGCTTCTGTAGTGAACACAGAAAACTTTCTGCTCATTTAGCAAAGATTCTTTTCAGAATCGGGGACACTGAAGCACCCTCAATTAGTAATATCAGCATTTAATAAGATAAAGTACTTTCCTAGAATAACCATTATACAGTAAATTAAAATGGCAGTGGATAAATGTCTTAGAAGATTGCATCTGATTTTCAAGGATATACTGTACTGACACATGGAATCTGTAAGATCTTGCAGCTTTTGTCAAAATGAGGAAAGCAACGTTGCACAATTGGGCTGCAAGTCAAACTTTTTCTTACATAGGTGCAACCATTTGTGTGAAAAAAGCAGGCTTTGCACTGCAGTGATGCAATACTGCCTTCATATTATACCTCTTTGTCTTCCTGTAAATGTGGCAATGGTGAGCTGTGGGTTAAATGCATAATAAAAAGGGATGATCAGTTTTACGTTTACACTTTTTAAACTGTTCTGCTAAAAGATTATGTTTACACCTCTCCCTAAATTGGTCGTATGAGGGCCTGGAATGAAGCTCTCTGCCTGTATTCCCACTGGCCTGTACTTGATAGGTCAGTGGGAATAAAATCTGTAGTCATCCCTCAGATCTTTTTAAAACAATGACTGCTATTTCCAAATCATTGGGATCTGGCCATGCTTGTGAATGTCAATATTTGTAAACAGCAAGAACAAATTAGACTGAATTGTTTTTAATCGGCTCAAATCGGGTTAGATCATATCCCAGGAGACTTCCAAAGTCTTAACAATCCTAATCAAATTCCTAGCCTGTGATGACATTATTAGTGGCCACTCAGGTAAGTTGCCTAAATCCCATTCATAACATTCATAAGTCAGTATCTCCTCCTTGTAGAATTAACTGAAAAGTCTTTCTCAGTTTTCTGGTAAAATGTTTTAATTTTTTAAAAATATGTTATTATGTTTTTTGCTGTCCACCTCGCTGCCAAATGACTATATAACAGTAAAACTGTCTGTATCATCCATAATTCAGATTTTCTATAATGAGGTATTAAAATATGGCTGGGAATTTTGTCTGACTTTTCTGAAAAAGTTCTGTGTTGTTTATCTTTCATAATATTTCTTTCCTAGCAGTGAAGCAATTTCTTAAAAAGCTTTTTGTTTTACTTAAGATACTGAGCAGTACATTATTCTTGTGCTCTTTCTACATGCATAACAGCAATGGTGAACATGTTTTTTTGGCAAAAAATAAAGGAAAAAACTGAAAAGAGGGAAAATCTGGAAGAATCAAAATTTTAAACTGTTTATAATTGTGCTTTACAGAGAAAAGTTCTGGAGCAAAACCAAGGAAAATATACAAAATCATATTCTAATAAAAATATCTAAACTCAGACAGTATAGGTCAATGTATTTTTAAAAGACAATTCAATTTCCATATTTTTCACATGAATGTGAAAGAAGGCATTGTGGTACTATTTCTACAGTACAAGTTAAATGACCAAAATAAAGGATAAATATAAGTTTTGTGGGGGAAATGATGTAAGGTCACTATAATTACAGCTTTTGGGGGGTATTGCTTCAGCACGTTTATAGCATTCAAACCACAATTTAGAACAAGTTAATGTGGACTAGCAATGTTAGGTTAAATAGGTTAACTTTTTTTTGTAATCCTTACACTGTCTTGCTACATATGGAAACAGGAAGTTCTGCTGAAAGCAAAGAAAGATATGAAATGCTCGTAATGTCCTGAAATAATACAGTCTGTAATTACTTTGTCCAGATGGAGGACAACCGCCTCTTTCTGCTGAAAAAATAAAGTTGATAAAATATTTCAGCATTAATCTGAGCCCCATGGTTCAAACTGTCTAGTTTTTAAAGGGATCACTGTCTGAAGAAAACAGTCCTCCCCCCGCATCTCTCTCTTACAGCTGCCCATCTTACAACTTAATTCTGGATGGTTTCCCATCAAAAATACAATGATCTGCATTTCTTCTGTTCATATCCTTATTGTCACTCTCTACAAAGCTGTACAGAGAGTTCAAGCTATGTTTTCTATTTCTACTCCATCAGAGTCTTTACTGTTCGGTCACTTTTTCTACTTGCTTATTTCTGGCTAGTTTACTTTTATTCCCAGGCTTTTTGGTTTCTGTTTATTCTATTTAAACAATCTGTTTATTCTGCCTGTTCATTCTGTGGCTGTAAAATTCTGTGTGCTCTAAAATAGAAATCTTGTTCTCTCCCCTCCTGGTTCTGCTACTTGATAGGCAGCTGGGCTGTCCTGATGCTAAGGGGAGGGGCTGGGAAGAGGCTAGAGGTGGCAGCCGATCTCTCCTCAATCCGTCAATGATTTTGATACTTTTATTGATCAAAGTGTGTGCTTGTGGGGGAGGCAGATTGTTTGCATAAATGAAATCATTATCAGGAATAGAAATCTCTTGAAGTTTATTACTGAAACGCTGCTCCTTGTGTGAAACAGAACCTTTCCTGGTGGTAACTACTAAGATCTTTATGGTGCATTTCTAGATTGGATGTTTAAATTAAGAAAGTTTAAATCTGTATGTTCCACGTGTCAGCTGAAACTTAAACAGAGATCGGCTTGATTGCTGGACATGTGGCTGCAGCAGTGCTTCAGTAGGCATACTAATAACCTGCAGCTCTTATCAACTTGATAAGGATTGTCTATTTGGCTTTCTTGTTCCTTTTGCATGCAGATCTGTTCTCCAAGTAATCCTTCTCCAAGCCTCCAGTGCCTTACTATTACATCTACTGCCCTTTCATAGGACTTGAGCTGACAGCCAAATTGTGCGAGAAATGGGGTCTGATCACATCACCTGATTCTTACTGTGGGTTTTCCCATCCCTTAATTAAACCTGATGAATCAGAATCATTATCTTGTGGGCACTTGTAGGCATGTATTCATTTTTTGTTATGTCTGTTTATCCTCTGGATGAATCTGAATGCTCATTATTTTCTGTTCTGTTTCCTGTTGCATGTCTATCTGCCCTATGTCATGTTCCCCACTGGATTGCATTGGACTATTATCTTCTCTTTTTAATTGATAGGAAACCATATCCAACATGGTGATTCACAGCTTTAATAATCACTGAGTGCTGAATGTTGTCACTTGTTTATTTCTTTTCTTATTGGTACAAAATTTTTAGAATGATTTTGTTGCAGTTACAACCGGAGTCAGCATAGTTTTAGGGCCTCTACCCATGAAGATTTTTTTATTGTTGCTCCTGTTCAAAGTGGGAAAGAATTTTAAGAGTGGATCAGAGCTTTTTCACCATCTGTTTCTTCCGCTTCTTCTTTCCCTTCCCTTTTCTGCTCAGGTTTCTATTTATACGACCTTGAGGCTGACTATAGTCCATGTCTGAACTGAACCTGATAGCATATCACTTCCTGTTCCATATGTCATCTCCACTGCATTCATGCTTTATGCTAAAAGAAATGTGCAACTCACTTGTCAATCTAAATGAAACATTTCCTCTCTTCAGAGGTTGTTCAGAGCTTCCGGTTCTGAGCTTTCTGTGCTGTAAATTTTTCTTTGAACTTGGTAGCCGTTCTCTATGTTGCTATTTTATTTTGCATCTTCATTTCGATACACTGCTTCTCTCCCAGGTTTTGCAATGATAGAACTAAATAGATGCCACCTCACCAGAAAAAAAAAACACTGAAATGAGGCAAGTATGGCATTACTTAAAGTAATTACTTATTAATTACTGTAACTGTTGGGTTATTTTCAGTTATTCTAACCAAGAGTCTAGGACTCATGGAACAACAACAATTTGAACTATATAGTTCAAATTGTACATTTAGAAGTAATAACTTAATTGTATTATAACCACATTAACCATACTGAGAAGGAGAGAAATTGTGGCTACTCTGTGCAAATGCTATCGGGATGTAATACACAGATTTCTTGAGTTCTTTCAAAATGTTCTCTAACCAGTTTTGATTAGGTAGCCCTTCAAATAAAGAGTACATCCTCAATAAAATAAAATGGATGCCCCATTTAGTCATAGGAAACTAACAGGTAACAGAGTAAGACATCATGGAGTTGTGAGAGGAGGAAGGGAGCTAGCTAGAGAGAAGACTTCATATCATGGGACGTGGCAGCAGTATTTGCTATTGCTCCCTGTTGTCTTTGTTCATGACTCTCTCTTCTGCACAGGGAATGTGTGGAATGCAAGAAATTTGGGAGAGGAATCCTGATAGAACAAGGCACCTGCAACCGTAATTGCCGGGATGAGATTGAGTTGGTGCAGGAACTTGGTATGTAAGAATTATAGTGGTGTTTTTTTTGCAAGAACTGTTGTTGTTTTCTTCTAAATTCCTTTCCTCTTCCTCCTCCTCCCTTTTCTGACTTAGAAACTTTCCAGATGATTCAGTTTCTAAGTTAAATGAAGTCACTCTTCCTTTAACGGAGAGCATTTAGATCTCCAACAACAAAGCCAAGGCTAAACTGTGAATATTGCCTGCTTGAGATACAGGCAGTCTTCAATCATTTGTTTAGTGACTGAGCAAAGTAACAGTGAGGCTGAAAAATGTGAGTTATGACCTGCCTTTGGACTTACAACTGACACAGTGTCCCCATGGTCATCTCATCACAATTCAGGTGGTTGGCAAGTGGCAAGTGTTTATGGGGGTCCTGGTGTGCCAAGATCACATGATTGCCATTTTTGATCTTCCCAGCTTCTCACAAGCAAAGTCAATGGAGGAAAGAGAGCCAGATTTGTTTAACAACCAAATTATTCTTTTTACCACCAAGGTAAAAAAGGGTTGTAAAATCAGTCATGGTCACATGAGGACTCACTTAAAAACATCGCTTAACAATGGAAGTTTTACTCCAATTGTGGTTGTATGTTGAGGACTGTCTATATAGTGTTGAACACAGATTCAGCATCATCTACCCAAACAATAAACCATGCATATGCAAGACTCGAAGCAGTTAATCTCATCATTATAGAAAATTAAGGTTTTAACACAAGAATTCAAGCAAGAGCTCTATTTTAAATGAGACACCTATAAATAGACAAACTATCTCAGCAGAGCTCTGTCTGTTTTCCTTTGCTTTTTTACATAATAGGGAAGGTTTGTCTTTTTCATGAAGGAGGGGCACTTTGCATATGTAGCTTGTTTTTGGCATCTACTGTTTCTTTTTTTAATATCAGAAAACTCTCACCAGCATATCTTCCTTTCTTGTTCATACGGAATTAATGAAAAATAGAATAGTGATGTCACACCAATTCCCCCTATAGATGTTAAATTGCAACAAAAATAAGTATTTTTAAAAAATTCTAAGTAAAGGATCTTATAGCCTTTTATCTTCGGACTTCATAGCTAGTTTAAGAGTCACTATTCCATCGATTCCCACCTCCAGAACCTATCCAGAAAGATAACATAATATATAGCACCAGAGATCACTGAAAACTGAGCAGACACCACAGGTGTTACTATTAAAAAAAAAGAATCAAAAGGTTTCTAAAGTTTCCTTTCTCATAATTTGTGGCTCTGGGTGACATATAAATTCAATAAATAAATAAATACAAAAGTTAATTCTTTTTTTTAAAAAAAAGAATAAATACAATGACAACCTACCCCAAACCAACAAAATCAAAAACATAAACCCCTAATTGAAGCCAACAATAAAAATATGCACACACATTACAGAACAGTTTCATCCATCATCCTGGCACAAATGCACAAGAGAGCCAGATCTTTACAGCAATATCAAAGGCCAAAAGACTCAGGACTGTTAGAACCCTGGGTGAAGCTCATTCCAAAGATCAGGTGTCCCTGCAGAGAAGACATGCCTCCAAGGACAGAGAGATGAGACCAGAACATGCCAGCCCTGTGCAGCCTCTTGAGATGGACAGAGTTGACTGGGAGAGATGGCTCCCCAATTTATTTATTTGACTGATTAATAGTCTGCCTAACTCTCAGAGCAACTTCATCTTAATGATTCCTGAAATAGGAATGGCTTTGTAGGTGCTTTCTACGCCTTCCCTCCCTAGCACCAAGAGGATCACTTAAATAAGGTCACCAGCCAGTAATATGTGAAAACAATAAGGGTGAAGAAATATCTAGTTTTACTGTTTCCATTGCCATAAAACAATTAATAAAGGCTATTCACTCCATAGTCATGAGAGGGGGGATGTACTTTTGGACTTGCAAGATTCTGTTAATATAGCTTTACAATAAAATATATTAGCTCATCTGACTGTGTTTCCTGTCTGTTCTGCCCCTCAAAGCTGACAATGGCTGATGCCAGACCCAAAACTAGGTGGGCACATTTCAGAGAAGAACACCCCAATTCCCCATGCCCAACAAAAAATCTTGGTAGAACATACCAAGTTGGCTCCCTTCTATAATTAAGTTGTGAATGGGCCTAGGCTTTATTACAGACTGTCTTGACATTAAAGGGCAGAAGCCAGAAAACAGAACCACCTAAAAACTAATGACTGGATGCCAGGGCAGTGCGTAGGAAGCTGGAACATGGAACTGGCACCCACCCAAATACATCTGTTGTTGTCTTCCAACAAAAAGTTTTTCATTAAGACAACTCCAGCAACTTCCATGCTAGAATCCAGCCTGAAATTAATTGGTAATGGATCCAGATAAATGGTCTAGTCTACAAGAAAATGCCAGAGAAGCCTACTAAAAATAAAATAGTACAAATTAGCTGATAAATATTAAAATAAAAGGAGGCTGTTTCAAGAAGTAAATTTACAGACATTTTAATTGCCTGTTGGAAGCAGTCAATCAGTCCCCTTCAGCTACATGTAATTAGTCAAGAAAGGTTTTTAAAGTCAGGAATTAGGCCATAGTACTGCAGCAGTCAAGAATAAAATAACTTCACAATGAGTGAAATGTTTATGTTCTGAACATATTCTTGGATTAAATAAATAATGGTGTGACATTTTGCTTGTGGCAGATAAGCATGATTTTTTTTTTCTTCAGATATATCACTGCCCACTCATTGAAGGTTTCTTAATAATGGCCTTATCTACCCAGAGTATGGCCAGAATTATTGAGAAAATGCTGTTAAAAATATTACTGTATAAGGATGAAAGTACGTTGGTGAAGCATTGACAATTATTGTTGCTGGAAAGTAGACTATATAATGAATATAATATCCTGAGAATTTTTCTTTACTGTTAAAACTTCTTTCATTTTTAGTCTGCTTTTTGGAAAACCAGAAAGCTATCCTTGCTTTGCAGAACAGAAGTTCAGGTTGTTTCTATTAAGTCAGCTTCATATTTTGCAGTAAAACTGGAAGTTTGATGTTAGTACCAATCATGTCGACTATTCCAATAGCACCCAGGAATACATTTGAATTTAATTGGCCTATAGGTAAAGCATCCTAATGGGCCCATCACTTTGGCAGAAGTGAATGATGGCTGAAGATCTGCAACTTGAGAAGGGGTTTAAAAGAAATTCTTCTATATTTTCACACTTCTTTTGAGAATAGCAGATACAAAATGTGATGTGCCACATGGATCAATGATAATGGACACATGTCTGGAAAAACAGTCTTTACATACCCTGTTTCTCCAACAGTATGGCCTCCCCCAATAGGAAGTCCCAGCATGTTTTATAGGCATGAAATGAAATTAAGCCCCTCCCCCCAAATTAAGGCCTATAATAAAACATGAGAAATGGGGGGAATGGGGCGGGGCTTGCCATTAGGAAGTACATTTGTTGCACACCCGGATATGGTGCTGCCTGCGTTGACCCCAATATGAAGTGCCCCACCAACGCAGAGGTCAACATCCAAGCCATCGCTGCCCACCCACCCAAAGATGCAGGGGGGGGGGGAATTAAGTCACCCCTGAAAAGACGGCCTAGCCATTTTTTCGGGGCTCAAAAAAAAAATAAGACCCAGCCTTATTATATGAGAAACATGGTAGATGGTGTGATTTGTCAGAGTCACCCTGTTTCTTTAACACCCCTGGTGACAATTCTAGATGTAAATGCTAACTATTTCTTGATTAATGTCAGGGAACTAAATGTTTTTTCCTTTGTCCTCTTCTGTAGGAGGCAAGGGGAAAGATGCTGCGAACTGTACATACAAGGATGAGAATGACTGTGTAGTGTACTTCCAATATTACGAGGACTCCAGTGGCAAATCTATCCTCTATGTTATTGAGGAACCAGGTGAGGGCCAAGGACCACTAAAATAAGTCTTCAGTTTGGATAGCAAGTTGATACTTTGCAGGATGAGAAATGCCAGAACTCAGCTTGGTATTCCATATTAATTTGGAATGTATGAGAGGGATGATTATAGCGACAAGTGAGGTTCTTAAATGCATGTTTACAGGACAAGATATGGCTATTTGAGAACAAGATATGGCTATGGAAAAACATAGATTCTAACTGAGACATGGGATGAAATACCTTGGTTTTCAGTGTATTAAATACCTTAAAAACTAATTATGGACATAACTGTACAAGCTCAACATGAATACAAAAACTGAATGTGGTTCATATTATAATAAGATAAGAGCTAGTTGACATCATAGCTTCCTTTTTCTAGCCCTAACTTTCACCAAACCATCCCCATTTTCACTGGAGCAAGGACCTCATAGATTTTTAGAGATACAAAAGGAAGTCACTGACCCTAATTACTTGTATAAGGACCATTTTCTATATTATTCATGTTGTATTGTATTTTTGTTATGGATAGCACCAGGAGAAGCAATATCAATTTCATTGTAGATATGTATAATGACAATTATTATTATTATTATTATTATTATTATTATTATTATTATTATTATTATTAATCACACAGTCAGCCAGATGTTCAGACTGGGTTTGGCATTTTTGTATACCTATCGAGTCCTTATCAAGGACCTGGGATAGGCAAACCTGGATGTTTAATGGTGTTACAGACATTGCTGCAGGATGGAAGCTGTTCGAAGTCAAGCTGCCTTCTGCAATTGCAAACATAATAATAAATAATAATAATAAATTGAAAACATCATCATTATTGCTGTTATTGTTATTGTTGTTGTTATTATTATTATAACTTTAGATGGGCAGTTATTTCTTTATGATATCAGTTTTCTCCCGCCTTTTTCCTTCAAAAGGCAGGGAGGAAAGATCCTTGCTATCTCATTAGAAATTAGTAAACTCACAATTATCCATTCAGATTACTTTTTTTTTTTACAAGGTACATAATCATGTGAAAACAATATAGGAATGGTTCATGAATTAATATATGCAGAACAAAAGGATTAGGAAGAGATAGATCCATTAATCCTTAATTGTGGCCAATCAATTCAGAAAGAGATCACCGCTAGAAATATTTGGAAGGTGCTGAAGGGCCTATTTCCCCTTAGCCTAGGACAGCAAGGGAAGCCAGTGACAATAAGGCAAACTCATTCCCCAACCTGAAATCATATTAGAAAAAAATCTGAATTATCAGATGCTTTAAATCAGGGGTCGCCAACCTTTTGGACCACAGGGACCACCAAACTTATAATTTTAAATCCCAGGGACCACTAACCGGTTCTGTGGGCATGGCCTAATTTGTGAGTGTGGCTTGGTGGTCATGTGACTGGCTGGGCATGGCTTGTGTGTAAATATTATAAATATTTATATTAATATTGATTTTTTTATAAAAAAGAGCAACTTTTATCCAAAATCAGTCAAAGCAGGCAGGCAGATTGAGTTGCTCACATAACCATTCAGTGATCTATCTATCTGCCATCGGCTAGCTCAGTCTGTCACATAAAATTTGCTTGCCGTGAGTCTGCACTGAATAATAGAACCTTCAGTGCTAAGGGAGGTTCGGCTGTCCTTAAAAGCAGAGCTGAAGATCTAAAGACTAGCTAGAAAGCAAGAAATCCAACCATTTCCTGCTTCCTAGCTAATCTAAATCTCCCAGCACAGCAGAACACCTGATGGTCGGAAAAAGGAAAAATAGCAATTTAGCAGGCAGGTTTGCCAGGTAAGGAGTGAGTGGGTGGGGAGGGTTCCTGTAGGCCAAATGGGCGGCGCAGCCTTGTGTTTCTGTGCAGCCTGGATTAATTGCTTTTGGGGGGGTGCCCTGGGGGTGAGATTTCCCTGCAGCACACCAAAATTTTCTCACAGCCCACCAGTGGGCCGCAGCCCACCGGTTAGCAGCCGCTGCTTTAAACAAAATTTACCTAAGCAATATGTCTGTTTTCAATAATTCATAAAGATGGCAGGATTATGTATTTTTTATTGCAATATTACTTTAGGTCAACTTGAGTATAGTTCTGACTAGAGAGCAATGATTGAATCTGGCAACTTTCAGCTCAGAATTAAACACATTATCTATCATCCATGGATGGAAAGATTTTTTTAAGCCAGCTGCTGGATTTGTCTGCTTTGATATTTGACTTCAGTGACTAAATGCAAGTCCTCCTGTCTCTGCTTGCTGAGAGATGAGCAAACAGGCCCACAGACACTGACTCTGCCATAAACTCCAATGAGACAATATCTCTTTCTGCGTGCTTGTGAGCATGAAGGGGACACTAGAAATCTTCAAAGAGTGTATTCTAAACCCAAAGAGGATGATAAAGCTCTCATTAGTTGCCAAAAGCATGCAATAAATGATATAACCTCACCACAGGGTATTAACTTGGCCGATGACTCAGACTGCACTTAGAAGGTTGACAAGGATGGCGTCTCAGGCAGATTTTGAATGAGCTTAGCCAGACCACCTCGGACAGCAATTTGAATCCAGCTAATACCACATGGGGAAACCACAAAAGCTGCCATGCTTCCTATCATAGCCTGGAGCCTTTAAGCCCTCTTTTCTCTTTAAGGAAATATTAAAAAGAATGATATAGTTAGGAGGGTAAGAAAAATTTCTGGAAATGAAATGATGGAAGAAATTGATTTGTCAAAACTTGTTTGATAGGATGCAAGCTGTTGGGACCTGCAAACTTCCTGGGTCATTGAAAGTAAATGATTTCCCTAATTCAGCTTTAAATTCTTGCAGGAAGTATGTGCTGCTGTAATCTTGGGCATATTTTCTATTGTTGTATTGACTTTGCTGTCAGAAAGAGTTTGCTAATATCAAAATAGGATGTTTTCTCCAACTAAGTTTAAAGGATTAGATCAAAGATGTGCTTTCTTTTTGTCAAACTACTCTATAATGGTCCCATTATTCTGAAGAGCAGATGGCTCTAGAATAACATTTTGTAAAAAAGATGTTAGATCTTATATACTGTACTTAAATCGTACATCTGATAGTGGCTATCTCCTGAATAATTGTGCACTATTTTAAAGCCACTGATGGGTTATTTATTCCTATTAGCCTCCACTTAGCATGAAGGAAGGTCTTACTTGTAAGCTGAGCACTAAGAGTTTTTATAAATGGTCCGTTCTTGCTACAAAACATCCATCTTTCCCATCATAATAATTATGCGTTAGATATTCATGGCACTGAATTAGAGAACAAGAGCTCCAAGAACATGCTTGCAGAATAAGCCTTCTGACTAGTTATATGCTCATAAATCCAACAGTAATCTTTGGTTGCTTCTCCTTAGTAGGGATTTCCTTTGTCACAACAGCTTGATCAAATGCATGGATGTATGTCTTTAGTGAACTAAAGTTAAGAATTTAATGGTGGGGGGTGGAGGGTAATTTATAGCTTTGCAATTCTGTTTTATGATGCAAGTATTTTCTACAGATTGTCCCAAGGGACCTGATGTCTTGGTTGTTCTTCTTTCTGTAACTGGAGCCATCTTACTTATTGGCTTGGCTGCTTTGCTCATCTGGAAACTGCTTATTACCATCCATGACCGACGAGAATTTGCCAAATTTGAAGAAGAGCGTGCTAGAGCTAGATGGGACACGGTAAGAAATATCAGAAGTGTGTAAGGGGACAGAAAGCAAATATTTTGCTTCATCCTAAGAGGAGGGAAGGTTGCAATGACTTATTGTTTTATTTCCCTGACATAGCAGCCTGTTGTTGATTCTGAATCATCCATAATGCAATATATATCAGTTTTATTGTACCTTGAGGGTGTGTTGTTAGCATTCTCCCAATAGCATGTTGTTGAAAAAAAAAACCTGATGCCTGAACGTTATTGCATCAGCATTTCCTGCCCTCTTGCTTTATTGGTTAATGGTTGCACAGAAGTGATTATGAAAATGTGTGCGCATGTGCATAGACACACACACACACGACACACACTATGGAGCAATACCTTTTTAAAACATCTTTCTAGGAGATACATCATTTTACTATATACCTATATGTCTGTTGTAGCTTCTTAAATAATTCTGGGTGGCTATTGAGAGCACTAGGAATCACCTCACCCTGTTAAAAAATCCTATTTTAAGCTACTTGGATGACTTGGCAACTGTTAAACTAGTTGCCAAGTATATATTTTTCACCATGTATCTATGAAGTAGAAGGTACAATTATTTTTGTTGATATTTTTACACTCTGTTTTATCTTTTAGGCCAACAATCCCCTGTACAAAGGAGCTACCTCCACCTTTACCAACATTACATACCGTGGGAATTCGTGAGATTGTAGTCTTCCAAGGTCTTCTCCACTCATGTTTACAGAACTGTCTCTGTTATGGGTGTGAGAGATTTTTTTAAAAAAACAAAACAAAACACAAAACAGCCATTGCTCAAGAGCCTTCACTGTTCTGCTGTCACAAGAAAGTATCTGCACTGTGATTCTTCCAAGACTCTCTTTTTTTACCTCAGCTTTCCCAAGGCTACGGCCTGGACTCATATACTGAAGAAGAAAGCAGGACTTGCTCTTCAGTATGAACAGCACTGCATAAATCCAGGGTTAAGAGAAGATGCTATCTGAAGAAAATCAGGGGGTCGTGATTATTGAGCTTTACAATATAACTCAGATGTGAATTAGTGAAATTTGGGGTAGAGGAGCTTTGAAAGATTCATGATATCTAAGTCCATTGCAAACTGAACCCCAAATCTCTCATCCGGGCAAACTTTCAAGGGGCTCAGCTGGCTGCTGGTGCTGCTACTATTGCCCTTTTCATCCATCTTTCCAAACATGAAAGAACTGGTTGGGTTGGCCAAGGAAACAGCCTGCTGAAAGTCCTTCATTTACACTTTGCACACTGCTGTCTAACACAGAACGTGCGAGGAAGTAGGGGAACTTTCTTCAAAAATCGTTGCTCCTAATAAACATAGCTTAGGGGGAGAGAGAACAAGAAAGGGAGTTCATTGTGGGGCTTAGGAACCTGTCCAGTTCTTGTTTTGCTGTCAATAATATTGGTGGCATAAAGAAAAATTCATTTTCAAATCCAATGTTTTACATATTAGACCAGAGCTCCAATATTGTTAGACTATTCTTTTTGTTACACATATCCCAATATAATAAATTTCTTGGTTTTAATTTTTAGAAGGAAAGAGTTCCTAGTGTGTATAGATTATTTGCTTTCTCTAGTGAAAAAAAGCACTCAGCATTAATCCCTTTTGTACGCTGACTTCACATATTTCTAGGTTTTGGGCTCAGATTATATTCCTCTTAGATAATATTTCACATAACAGTAGTATCTTAGTAGGGTTCACACATGATAACAAGTTCTAATGTGGAATTTTTGTTATTGGTTTAGCATCATGTACAAATTCATTCACTGTATTGATATTGTATATAAACTGGGCCACTGTAATTTAGTCTTTTTTTTATAGAAATAGCACTGGATAGGGAGTTGCACTTGATGATGCCCCAAAAGCCTTTCATATCTTACAGCCTATGATTCTCATCAACAAACTGTAATTTTAAAATCCTTACTGCAATGTGTGGACATCAACACCTAAGTGCATGAATATATAACTACTTGATCTTCATGGGGAAGGTTGGGGAAGAAAATGTAGATCAGGCATACCAGAGGTCCCACGTTTAATCACCAGCATGTCAGTCTAGAAATCTCTTGTCCAACAAGAGTGAGCCCTTTGAACATTGCTGCCTACCAGTACAATACAAGGTAGCTGCATAAGTTCATATCATGCACCATATAAAGCCAGAAATCTCCTTATAAGTAAATGACAGGTAGGATTTGCCATTTGCTTTACAATGCTTCACCCAAAGAATTGGGACAGATTCTCCTCAGGTTCTGCTTTTCACTCAGGGAATCAATACTCACCCAGGTGAGTGTCCTCGATGACCAGAAAACTCTCCCTCAAGTTTTCTGAAGCACGAGGGGCTTGCTGAAACAACCTGGCTAAATTCTTGGGGTCTTTGTATCATAGAGTCTCTAACATAGGTAAAGCATGAAAGATGTTTGGCAGGATGAAATATTATCATACCTGACTTTCAGCGGCTCTTTTCATCTTGCAGCTCTTTCCATTAGAGACTCGAGGCCATATCTAAACTTGGGAGCAGAATAATATAAATGTGCCTTTCCTTTCTCTTTTGCTTTTCACAACTGCATTAGTACCTTTACTGCTTTAACACTTCCTATAAATATACATAGCATCTTGGATCTCTCTGGTGTCTTTCTGCTTCTGTAATTAAGAAAATGACATTTCATTCTCCTATTAATAAATGTTGAACACAAATTTGTTACTAGGAATACTAGAAAGATTTTCATAAAAAGATTTTCTCTTAAAAAGATTTGCACTGAACCAACTTTGAGGTATACCTTTTATGATTTCCCACAGTCATTCTTCTAGTTCCCTTATCCCAAAGTCAATGTATTCTCATTTTCAATGTTGTTGAATCCTAACTATTTGTTCCAAAAAAAAAAGGAAAGAGGCCAAGAAGTGAGGCTGCTTTTTCCTGAACTGAGATCATAATGAAGGGCAGAATTATTTTGAGTAGTGTTTGTTAAAAGTTAGGCCAATGTGACCCTTTGTATAAGTAAAAGAGTGCCATTTATGGCACACATAAATAAAGAGTTTCAACTCAACTAATGTATTTGATCTGTCTAACTAATATTTCTCAATTTTATTTTATTATATTTGCTTTTATTTTATTGTAAAATGATGGGAGTTATCTTTTAGTTCAGTTAAAATATAAAAACTGTATAAATCGTAGGGGGGAATTATTTAAATAATACAAACACCAACACAGAGAATAGCACAGCACATTCAATATGAAATCATCATTAATAGCAGTTGTTTACTTCTAAGGTTCCTAGGGTGTCATCCCCCAAAAGCCCCTTCTTTTTTGGAAAGCATTCAAGAGGAGATTGAAAGATTGCCTTTGCTGAACATTTCAGAGTCAAAGTAGGATAATACTTGAGGAGATGCTCCTTTGAGTGATCTGTGCCCAGGTCATTTGTGTGTCATATACTGAACATATATTTTAAATTAGGCCTGGAACTGGCCCGATAGCTTGTGCAGATGCCAAAGAGTTGGCATCCTATTGGATTGGTGAAACCCAACGGTCTATCTGTCTATTGTGAACTAGCTGAACTTTCCAAATCATTTGTCTGATTCATAATGATAATCCAGCTGGGAATTTATCAGTAAAGGAACAGAAGGGCTGACCTTGGGGATAGAGTGAGAACCATGAGGGTGGTGCAATAGGAGTGAGCTGTTAAGGAGGGACTGAAGGAAGCGTGAGAAACAAACTCTAAATATGCCTTGATTTTGTTTACTATAAAAATGTGACAGAGAAAAAATTGAGCAGGCTTTCGAGATTCTCTCATAATCTACAACAACAAGGCAGCATTTCTGGAATCCCTGTGATCTGGTCTACTTCGAAGTGCAGACATCAATCTTGGAAAAAACCTTTTCATGTTTCTTTATACTCCATCTTGTACTAAGAACAACACAAATCAGGATGGGATTAGTTTGTCTCTCAGGCTTCCTTCTACTTGTTTACGAGCATATTAACATCTTACATACACACACTGTGCCCTCTTCATCCCCAAATAACACTCTCAGAATTTTCCCAAGATGAGTGCTAAATTTCCTTACCAGAGCAAGAATAATGGCTATAGAGCTACCTTTGTCCAGATAAGGTCAACTTAAACATTCAGCAAGGCCTCTTAATTTTCTGGTGATAATTTTGTGTTAGCGTCCTCTATGTATCCCCTGCCGGAACAGAATGGACACTATACTAAGTTGGGCAGATGAGCCACGCATTGGCAATATCTCTGCCTTATCCAGGTTGAGCCACAATTTAACCTTCTTCCTATTTATTATCCCTCTAGAAAAAGGCTGTCATGGCCATGTTTTAGCAAATGGGGAAAAAAATTGTGATACATCACGTGACGCTGCCATGATGACACGAGTTTGACATCCCTGCTCTAGAACAAGGGACTCCAAACTTGACAACTTTAAAACTTGTGGACTCCAGAATACTCAGGCACTACTGTGGCCGGCGGAGGAATTCTGGGACTTGAAGTCCACAAATCTTAAAGTTGCCAAGTTTGGAGGCCTCTGCGCTAGAAGATTGACTACTTTGCACGTTTTAGACAAAAATGAGAAATAAAGCCTGAATCCATATAAGTCACATTATATCAATATACTGAGAAATTTATTTATGGCATATATTTATAAAATATGTTACATGAAATAGAGAAAGAGAGCCCCCTAGCTGAAATTAGAAAAGCAATCCCATATTATTGCTTACATGGAATAGTCAGCCAGCTACTGAAAGAAAGGGGAATCCTCTGCATGTTACAGCTGTCTAGGAGAAGATATTTCATGAAATACAATTTATTTTTTCCTTCTCTCCTTGCTATGGTGTTCCAACCAAATCATCTCTTTCAGTGCAATGATTAAAAGCGGCAGGAATTTATCATGTATGTATATGTGCTGCTTTGACTTTCCTTTGATTTCCCTGTACTACACAACTAGAAAGAAATCTGAACTGCTTCCATGGAATGCACAAACCATAAAATGAGTGAAGATCAACATGAAACTTAGCTCATTTCTTACCTGCTGCCCTTTTTTAAAATTAGCATTTCAGGTGCTTTCTTTTAGCAAGCAGCATTATTAGCTTGAGGCTTTTAAATGAAGCCAGATAGATTTTTAAAAAAATCTAAGGTTGGGTGGACAGTGACATCTAGAGGCCCTTTGTGGGACTACATCAGAAATGCAGGCAGTTACAACAGCACATGGGAAACGTCAAAGTTAGAGCAATGTTTTCAACACCATAGTTGTAGGATACCAGCAATGACCAGTGTGTATAAAATGGAAAACCTAAGAACATTGGAAGTGAGGGAACTCCGCATAACATGAAAATGCAATACAAAGGTGAATGCTAAAGAACTCATTTAAAGATCAGATTCAGGATATAGAAGGTACATTGCATGATCAATATTAATCAAAAATATAAGTGGATGGGGCATGCTATAAACATGCATTGCAATAAATCGGCCCATAACATTCTGGTTGTCCTATAAGTTTGGGTGCCCAGATCCATGCCCTCTGAGCTGGAGATGAAAAGGGGAAACTTAGGCTGCAGGTGGACCATTACAGAAACAGACTGTGTAGTTTTGTTTTGGGCACTTAAACAATATATTGATTGAAGAAATGACTATGTAGAACATCCGACTATTTCTGCAAAGTTTTCCCAACCTACTGATCTCATGTAAGTTGGAACATATCCTTTCTAGATTTGTTAGTTGAGAATGATGGGTATCGTAGTCTTAGCATATATGTAAGTCCTACACTAGAGAAAGCTAAACTGCTGTTTTCTTCTGCATAATTTTACTACAGGTGAGAGAGGGAGGGGAACTTGTAAGAAATGATTCAAATCACAGTTGCAGAGATATTTTGTTTTCTGGCCCAGGTTTCCCAAATGCTATGTTGCAGTTATTCATACATCCATGTGACACATATATTACTCTGTTTATCCTTTACTGAACTTTAATCACAGTTACAATAATGATAATTGCCAGAAATCTATCCAGGCAAAAGTTCCACTGGGTTCCAGCCTTCAAAGTCATCCAGTGTGACCTTCTTTGTTAATTAAATGCTACGAGTTTTTCTGCCATTGCTACTACAAAGATCCCAAAAGCTGTTGAGAATGAGGACAATTAATTAAATTACCATTTCTTTGTCAGCTGTTTTGTTTTGGTGCCAAGCTTTTTTGTTTGTTTTAAGGTACACTAATATCTTTGATTGGAAATAGGCACATGTGTTAATGTGTGGGAACAAGCAACAATGCTGGCCTTGTTAGACAGCGGAGGAGGCACTATTTGGTCCATCTGTACTGCTTTGTTCCCAGGATGACAATCGGCATCTTGGCAGGAACCTGCACCTTTGGGGTGGGGGTGGGGAGTTGTTTTCTACAGTGTAATCTTTGTTTGGATCACCAGCTGCTCTGTGACATCATCAGGCTGGAACTTCTCATACAACAATTGCTATCCAGGCAGAGGTGGAAGACCCTGGCAAAGGGAAGAGATGATTCTTTAATTCACCTGAGAATCATTTCCCCCTCTCCTAACAACTGAAGCCCTCCCCTCAGCAGATCTAAAACCTCAGCTGTTTTGGTGGTTCAGCTGAAAAAATGGAAGTCCTGAACTATTGTCCTTCTTTATGTTTGTGATTCTAGCTGCCCCTTCTCCCAGCCTGGCTATTTCATCCCAGGTCGTCTGGCATTGCCAACTGTACTGTTGGTCCCTACAGCGTCATAAGTGAGTCATACAGGAATGGGGTTAGGAAAAGAGCAAAGCACTCTGGCATCTTTTCGTGTTCTTTTTTCCTCAAGGAGAAGGGAGGGCACGGCTCCATGTAATTGGTTGTAATTGGTTGTTAGCACTATTTCTTTTCCTCTTCCAGCAAGGATCTTTATGCAATCTTCTTGACATTTGCACCTGTGCTCTTATGGAAAGAGTGAACCCCACAATTTCTGAAAAATGGAGCATGAACTTGGCAGGTAATCTAAATTTTGCCCAGATGATTAAGAAATTTCTCAAGAATACAGGTTCTTCATGAGGTTTACCTATTGAAGTTCAATATTTAAGTCACTTTATAGTTGATCTGAATAAATCAGAAGGGTTGTACTCTACATTGCTTGCCACTGTCCCTATCATTTTTATCCATTGACCAACCAGAAGTTATTCTTCATGGGAACAGTTGCTAGGAAGATGTTGCAAGGGAGATGTCCATCCTTTCTTATATTTAAAGATTGGAGCCAGATGAAGCAAATTCTTCTGCCCATATGTAGAGTACCCTAGTAGAAAATTATATGAGAGAAACACTGTGATGCTCTTGATAGGCCTCCAATTTCTGGAGGCAAGCCATTCCATTGATTTATTGTTCTTACTGTCAGGAAGTTTTTCCATAATTCTTTGTTGGCTCTCTCTTTGATAATCTTTCATCTTTTACTTCTTGTCCTATTCTCAGCTGATTTGGAGCATAGGTCAACTCTCTCTTCTGTGGCACAGCCCCCAAATATGGAAAACTGCTATTCATGTAACCCCTAATCCTTCTCTTCATAAGGCTTAGACAGACCTAGTTCCTGCAACCATTTATCATGCATTTTAGTCTCCAGGCTCCTAAATAATCTTGGTTGTTCTTTGCACTCTTTCTTGTGTCCCAACATATTTTTAGCATTGGGGTGACCAGAACTGGACAGAGTATTCCAAGTGTGCAGTACAAAGTGGTACTAACATTTCACATGATCTTGATAGTATTCCCTCTGCTGAGTTAGGATATTTAAGTGGTTGTCCACTAGGCCATCTAGATCCCTCTCACAGTTACTCCTATTGAGCCATATTTTACAACTATTTATTTTACTTGTACATACTTACATATCTACTATGTATGTATGGATAGATAGATAAATAGATAGATGAGATATATAATATGTAGATATTGAAATATCTATGTATTTGTCATCTACAATTAATTCTGCCTTCTCAGTTCAAAACCCATATTCTGGAATAAATGATTTGTGGAAGAAGTTCAAATTGTACTTTTTTAAAACCCAGGTCTTTAATTTCAATTTATCAGTCTTTGTATTTAATATTTTAAATTGCAAATGTATTGTTCTCTAGCTTTATTAATATTTAGGTTTTATTTTAATCGTTCCTTTTTTTAATTGTATTTTTGTAAGCCATCTTGAGCTGTTAAAGCTGTTGAGTTGTTACTCTAAAAGAATGAATAAATAATCTAATAATTAATTTAAAAGATAATTGAAGCATCCTATGTATCTAAACCATGTTTTTATCTATTCATTTATTTGTACCTATTTATTTGCATTTCCTATAAGAGGATCAAAATGCTTCTATTGTTATCTGTTTATTATGTTTTCTTTTATACCTGTGCTGTGCTTACTTTCTCACAGAGAATCCAAAAATGAGCTTGTGCAGGCTGAAAACATCATGCCCAAGGGCCCAGATGAACAACCTGATAGCAACACAGTCGAAGTCTTAAAAGAGGAGGCTGAAGAGATCATCCGTCTCCAAGGCCCAAATGAACAAACTGAGGAAAATGACCAAGGCCCAGATGAGCCACCCAGCGATAGCACAACTCAGAAGCTAACAGAGCAAGAGGAAGAGAACCAACCTCAAGAGCTAAGTGAACTGAGTGAAGAGAACCAACCTCAAGAGCTAAGTGAACTGAGCGAAGAGAACCAATTTCAAAAACTGAGTGAGCAGGATGAAGAAAAACAACTTCAAGAACTGATTGAGCAAGGTGAAGAAAGCCAACTTCAAGAACTGAGCCAGCAGGGTGAAGAAAGCCAACTTCAAGAACTGAGGGAGCTGGATGAAGAAAGGCAACTTCAAGAACAAAGTCAGCAGGGTGAAGAGAAACAGCTTGAGGAATTGGGTGAAACAACTGAAGAGAAGCAACTTCAAGAACTGAGTGAACTGGATGAAGAGGGCAAACGCACAGATATAAGTGATCTAGATGAAAATAGCAAACTACAAGATTTAACTGAGCAAGTCAAGGACTTTGAGACTAAAGATTTCACATATTTTCTTGACGAACAACTAGGGGTACAAGAACAGCCAATCCCTTATTATCAGCCAGCCCCAACATCTTTTATTGATTATCTATCTATTTCTGCTTCTGGAAGGCAGGATGCTCCAGAATCAAAATTTGATATGTAAGTAATCATCTGACATTGCAGAATCAAGATTTTAGCCTTAATAAGAAGAAAGAAAGGCATTTGTGGATGCATATGAGCAATCCTAGATGGAAAATCTAACTAATCCTTATTGTAATAAAAGATATTTTATAAGTATAATAGAAGGGGGATCAAATTAAGAAAATACTTGATAGGAGTAAGCAAAGCCTAAGATAACTATACTGTGCATTTGTGCTTGAGAACAAAAACAAAAAGAAATAGCTGAGATTAGCAATGTCATAGACAAGTAGAGGGATAAGCAAAATTCTTTAATTCTCTGCCACTATCTCATCGACTTTAGTAGTCTGTAGGGTAGTCAATGCAATAACCAAAATGTCTTCCCACTTGCCATTCTGGTCAATGATCTTTTGAAAAGTGATTATATACTTATACTTTCAGGGTTTTTACTCCCATCAAGAATGGATAGATGAGGCGGGGGGGGGGGGGAGAAAGAAAAAGAGAGACAGGCAATGTGATTTATATCCCATGAAGTATATTTTGTATCTCTAAGATATAAGGTTGAAGTTCAGCCAAACTGTTTTAGCCAAAATAGCCAGCATGGAGGGAATCTCAGAAATATAATTCCACAAAATTTGTAGAACTGCATGTTACCCACTTCTGGCTCAAGGAAATTCATTGAAGTAAATTTTTGGTTTTCTCCTTCCTTCAGTAGTCAGGTAGAATATTGCTCTTTGATTATTATTTTTTAAAGCTTAATCCTAAAATACAATTGAATTTGAAAGCCTGCAGTATATGGATAGATGAATGTATATATCATATTTAAACTCTTTCTCAGATAATTAGCCTGGATGGAGTGAAAAATTCATCTTCAACATTGGATGATATTATTAAATAATTGCATCACTTGGAACATTTTGAAAAGAATAGCAAACAACTTGAGAAGGAACATTTTAAATATACTTGTTTAATATTTATTTAGATTTCTCTTTATGTATTTTGTAAGTATATTATTGCCTCCTCTGAAAAATGATTTGTTTCTCTCTTACACTAGTACTCAGCTTGACAAAAAAGACAGCAAAATCCAAGATATAAAGAAGATTGAGGGAAGTAAGATTTTCTCAGAAATAACTAAAGAGAAGGAGCATTACCAATCCGCCATGGACACGTCATCACTAAAACCCAGAAGGAAATCTGTTACTACTAAAAGTGAAAGCAGTACTCCTGTTCCCAGAAGTTACTATCTCCCTACCAAGTAAGCAAGCAAACAAATGAGTTTTGAGTTAAGATGGCTTCCTGAAGAAGGCCGGGAAACCAGAAGGAGTCTAGTAGTACATTTTCAAATTAATCAATTTTATTAAAACATACGTCCTTTCAAGAACAGCAACCCATTTCATTAGATGCAATGAAGAGGTTTGGTAGAGGATTTCAATTGGGATAAGGAAAGAAGAAAAGGTACCTATGAAGAGGCGGCTTACATGTGAGACAGCATACAAGCATCTTGTCAATTAAGATAATAATATTTGAAAAGGGTTAGTTGAAGATGCTGGTTCTTTGTTAGCATCCTTAGTTATGCTGTTGCTTGTTCATTATGAAAATCGGTTTCAGGTTGGATAGTTTATTCATTGATTTATATGGCCGCTCATTTCAAAATAGCAACTCTGGATAGTTTACATTGAAAAACAATACAAAACATAATATAAAACACAGGCATACACAGACAATAAGGGAGATGGCTTTGACAGATATATGCAAGAATAATCATCTAGGCAAAAGAAGCTAAAATATTTTTATTAAACCCAGAACAGTGAGAAACATTTAGAAGTTGCTCGCCCTTACTTATACTCTATATAGGTAGAAGGAAGAGATATGGCACAATTAGACTTGCGGGATTCTGCTATTACAGCCAATCTCAATAATAGTAGTTAGAGCCTTCAGCTGGAGTTGTGTTGGGATGCTGACATTCGCAGCACATGCAGTAGCTGAGAACAAAACCAGTTAAAACAAAAAGCATACCACAGGTTCCTAAACTAACTCTCTGACACTGTGCACACATCTAAAGGCCCTTTCAAAAGGCCAGCAGGATAGGGACCCCTCTAATCTCATAGGAAACAGTGTTCTATATAGAGCAAGGACTGCCACCCTAAAGGCTCACTTCCTGGGCTCTGCAAGATGACCTTCTTTATTGACGGGATCCACAGCATGTTCTTCTACAATTATGCCAACCTTCAGGGTAGATCAGATTAGAAGGAAGGCTAGAAGTATATTTTATTGAGATAGGCTATAATAATAGAAACTTGCAAACTTAATTATGTTTTACTTTCCCTCTCTCTTATATCCCAGTAACCACAAAGAAGCCTGTCTGAGTATCTTCCAAATGCAATCTTACTATATTTCCTAGGATTTATGCAACGTTTCAGTCCTTTTTATTAGATAACATTTCTTGCCCATTTCCCTCAAAGTCTTCTCCTTGGTTCTCTACAATCTAATATAATGGCTGAGGATAATCAGGAAGGGCCAGTTCTGCAGTTCGGCTGGCCTTATGCCATAAATGACTTTATGAGTGACAAATGCAATAGTACTTTGAGTGTACCCAGAAGTACCTAGAAGCTAACAGAGTTTTTGGAGCTGCAACAAGTTGCAACATTCAAAACTGCTGGCATCATTGCACTGTTTATCAGTTGCAGCTTCTGGATTCTCTTCTAGGACATCCCATGTAGAGTACATTGCAATGATCCACTTGAGAGGTGCTTAAGATATGATTGACCATGAGCAGAGCTTCCCAGTCCAAGAAAAAAGCAACAGGCACAAAAAAATGAAGTGCAAAAGTTTTCCTGGTCATGTCACCAGCTCTTCAAAGAGGAGTCACAAGCCCAAGAGGACTGAAACATCTATTAGTTTTCTCAGCAGGTTATTTACTTACTTTTTTGGAGTTATTCTTGAAAGAGTTCAATTTATTATACAAAAAGCAGATAGAGGATTGCCTTCTTTTATTTCCAATAGGCCAGTGGTTCCCAGAATTACTCTGCCTCGAACATCTGATAAAGCAATTCAGGTGAGCATCATGATATCTGCAATAAAATTAAGGTAAAGGTTTTCCCAGTCCAGTGATGTTAAACTCCAACAGGTGGAGTTCATCTCTGTTTCTTAGCTGAAGGAGCCAGTGTTGTACAAAGACATTTCCATGGTCATGTGGCCAGCATGATTACACATCAAGGTGCATGGAACAGTGTTATCTTCCCACTGAAGTGGTACCTATTTATCTATTCACATTTGCATGTTTTTGAACCAGGCAGGAATTGGGGTAAGAACAGGAGCTCAGACTGTTCCACAGTGCTTGGATCAGGAACTTGAACTGTCAGCTTTCCAGCTGACAAGCTTGGTGTTTTTAACTGCTGTGCATAGGTCCATACATCATCAATACATAGCATATGCTTTGAGGACTGCTGTTCTGTAGCAATGAATGGCACCACAGTGTCCTCACAATTTAAAAAAATCAAACCACAGGGATCTATGTAGTAAATAAAGAAAAAAAAATCATGATTCTGAAATACAACAATGCTCACAGAACACCAGCTGCAAATACCAATACTGAATTTTAGGGCAAATTTGAGTAAAAAAAATAAAAAGAACCTTGAACAAATTAAATGCTGTTTTCATTTAATCCTTAACTGGATATGCTTGCAAAAACATTCAGGTTTACATAAACATTGAGAATTTTGAAAGAGTCATCCTAAATTTAGTCTCATATAACCTTCTCACCAGAACCAGCCAGATGCCTCCAGAAAGCATCCTGTTTTTTGTTTGTGTTCACTGTAAGCAATATTGGAAGTATTTTGCATAAATGGTTTAGATATCCAAATGTGTTTAAGCATAAACAGGTACAGAAATGAGTTTATTGAGATGTGCCAACAATCCTTGTTTTCTCACATGTTACTATGAGAAGGTTTATAGGAAGACATCTATTTATTAGTCATATTTCTGTGACATTAGCCAATTTCAAACTTTTACTTAGGTTATACTTTAGATAATTCTTTAAGATTCTGTGGTACATAAGCATAACAATGGCTATTAAATATTAGGTATTTTATTCTTTTCTAGGTCTATGGATGCAACAAAATTTAAGAGTATTTGCAATGTTTGGAGCATAAGTATAGCACTTCTTTAAAGTAGCCACATTTTTTCAGGTTTTTTTTTTTGAATGAAAGCATGTAAAAAGGACCAGTGCTTTACTAAGTAGTTTTAAAGATGCAGCTACTTTAATGAGTTGATTCATTAAAATATATTAAATTATTTCCAAAAATATTACTTTTTTATAATATATTTTTCTGAAAATCTATGGCAGGAATGTTTTTATTTGGGAAAAGATAAGTGGATATAGACTGATTAACATTGCTAGTTTAATGCCACTGTGAAGTCTGCTGGGTATATTTCCAAATTTATTTCTAGTAGAGTTCATAGTGGAATCCCTTTTGACAATCATGTTTGTACATATAATCTAGGGCATTGTTTTTCAAACTTGGCAAATTTAAGATGCTTGGAACAACTCAGAAATACTGAGTATGGAATTGTGGGAGTTGAAATCCCCAAATCTTTAAGTTGCCAAATTTGAAAAACAATGGTTTAGGGTGGGGGTCTTCAAACTTACAAGCTTAAGATTTGTGGACTTCAACTCCCAGAATTCCTGAGCTAACATGACTGGAGAAGGAATTTGGGGAGCTGAAGTCCACAAGTCTTAAAACTGTCAAGTTTGAAGACCCCTGGTTTAGGAAATAACCAGGGGTGGGTTTCTACTGGTTCTGTCCACCTCTGTAGAACCAGTAGCTCTGAAGAGCAGTTCTATGCCTGCTGATGTTTTTGCCCACCCACCCGGGCTCTTACCCAGGGGCGGGATTCAAATTTTTAACAACCGGTTCTGTGGGCATGGCTTAGGTGGTAGGCGTGGCTTGGTGGTCATGTGACTGGGTGGACATGGCTTGGTGGTCATGTAATTGGCTGGGTGTGGCCAATTCAATATCACTCACATTGAGGCACGCATCTCCTCGCCTGCCTCTCCTGACTGGGTATGCTGCAACAGTCATAAGTGCGAAAAATGGTCCTAAGGCACTTTTTTCAGTGCCATTGTAACTTTGAATGGTCACTCACACAAGCAAAGTACCAGCAAAGGGGAAAATAAACTCCAGAGACGTTCCTGAGTCAGGAAGTCTAGTCCTTCCAAGAATGTAATAAGGATTAGCGGAGGGGTAGTTTCTGTAAGCAACACCAGAATGTTTCCTTCCTGCCTTCCTTACTGGATTAGGCCAGTAATGTCTTCTAACAACCAGTTCTCTGAACTGCTCAGAATGTTAACAACCGGTTCTAGCGAATAGGTGTGAACTAGTAGAATCCCACCCCTGCTCTTACCTGATCTTTATTTCCTGATTTTTCAACTTTAGCTGCTGAACGAGGCAGAGCTGCAGTTAAAAAAGCAGGAAAAGAGGGCTGTTTCAAAGGCTGCGTCTCTGCATACAGCATACTGATGACGATTTACAGGCGCGCGGCTCACAGCGTGCAGGGAAGCTCATAAATCCCGAACTGGTAGTTAACCCTGTCGTATCCCAACCCTGGGAAAAACCCGATATTGAAGTCATGAATGCTCCCTAGGTGACTTTGGGCAGAATTCTCTCTCAGCTAAACTGACTTTGCGGAACTTTGCACATTAATGATCATGGGAAAGGTAGAGACAGAGAATGTCCTAGAAACTGAAATCAAGGAGCAGAGTTCTTCCCATATTAAACAATGGAGTACATTTCGGTATTATTTTTCACTTTGGAAGTGACATTTATTTTGAATTGGACAGTGTACTAAGATGCTCATGCGACGCCTGACACCGCTTAGGAAGCCGCTCCCTCCAAAAGCCGCCGTCCCCAAAACAAGCATACCAACCAAAGATAAAGATACTCAGGTGAGGCTTTTCATCCATGTGTAAAGTGGTTTTCTTCCTAAAAAGATTCCTTGGATAAATTATCTTCAAAGAGCTTTTCACCCACTAGTTTTCTAACTCCAATAACTGCTTTTTTTATTACAAGTAAACAAAAACTTAACACTGATTCCTGAAAAAGAAATTTTCCCCATGAATGTTCTTATCACAGGATTTCCTGAAATCTCCAGCTCTTTGCTCCTGTCTGCTTTATTCCAACTCTTCCTTTCCACCCCCTGTTACAAGGAGGAGAAAAACAATACAATAGAGCAGTGGCCCCCAACCTTTTTTGTGCCACGGCCCGGTACCGGCATCAGAAAATGATCCGCGGCCCGATACCAGCATCAGCACGCATGACAAGGCAAGGTGAGCCAAGCGACCGGCCAGCCAGCTGTCCCCCACTTCTCCCCGCCACCTTCAACTCCTCCTTTGTACCTTTGTCGATGGGCTTCACTTCAGGATGGCTTCAGGATGGTCGCTCGGCTTGCCTTGCCTTGGGTGCTGAAAAAATCCTCGCTCCTTAGTTTTGTTTGAAGCTGCCCCCCTCTTCGATGAAACTAAGTTTCAGTTTAATTAATACATCACTGTTGGCAGTTTGACTGTGGTTGTTTAATATGGATTATCTTACTCTTAAACTGTCCCATCTCATTTGCCTTTTTTCCCCCTCTCCATAAGTTTCAGCAGATATTTTGAAAAGGCTTTATAGCTATAGCTCTATAGCATTGAATCAAGACAGAGCACACTAATCATGGTTTGTTAAATGGTGATGAATGGCTTACATGTTCTTACATGTAAGCAGTGGTTTATGGTGCAACATTAAAACTATGGCCCTATTATTTATTGAAAACATCATAGATGAAGCAAACCATTTGTTTACATGGGATGTGAATCCAGCCAATTATTTATATACATGCATCAGCCTTTTGAAGATTTAACTCCAAGCTTTGGATGCCATGCTTTAACTGGAATTTAACCTTTATTGGCCAGGTGCCATTGAAAGTTTTTCTTTATACTACTATACCATGTGTGTTGACTGTATATAAAGAAGCATGCATTATCATAATCCTGCTGTGCTCACCCATCAGATTACTACTTCCTTTGAAACACTGATGAGGAAACCACTAGCTTCAGTGGAAAAGAAGAAAAAAGAACCTAAGAGTAAGACAGTTGCCAAGGTGTCTTCAAACAAAGTTTCTCCAACCAAGACTCGCCGGTCCCCTTCACGCAGAAAAAGTGCCAGCTCTTCTGCCAGGTAAAAACCCTTGACGGCTTGTAATGGGCCAACTTACCCATTCCTTCTTCCTTCCACTTCCTGCTACATATTCTGTTCCAGATTTTTCCTTGACAGAAGCCAAAACAGTTGGACGCTTAAATATGGGGAGTAAATGTAACAAATGTGGGGGGTGGAGGGTTATTTGTTTTTTAAATTTCCATCAGTGGAAAATCTTCCTTTAAAGATATTTTACAATTTCATTAATATATCTGATGTACATCTAATTTTTCTTTTTGTTTTAAAACATTCTGGCTGGTAGTTTCCTTCCCTTCTTTAATGTTTTCTCCATAACTAATTTTGCACAATATTTTGCAAGATTAGTGGTGCAAACAGAAAAGAGGAGGAACTCAAGTCAGCGTCCTGCCCCTTGATATTGCAATTGTTCCTATGCCATTTCTGTAATTCTTAATAGTTTTTTTATCTGCATAGTTAAAGTGACCTGAAGGATTATTCATTTGCTTAGTCAGGCATTTTTAGGCACATAACAAAATCTATAATCATACAAGGCACATATTACAGGCATTGGTTAGAGTTTCACATCATCAGGCTATGCCATGATTTGCTTAACCAATAAATGATGGGAAGAAAAACAGTCCAAATTAGTTGAATTCACAGAACATGCTAAACCAAAAGACAGACTAACATTTGAGTTACTAGTAGCTTTAAAGTCAGCCTTTAATATTTGTGACACGTAATTGTTCTACATAAAAGTACTTGAATGATGAACTGTGAGTGGCAGCTCAACAATAATTTTTATTCTCTCTACAGCCATGTCTCACGATCCGCACCAGCGAAAAAGAGCAAGTTAGTGGCACCCTGCTTATGCTCCGATCTACCTCCTTTTATTTTTCTTCCTCTGTGATGTTCTTTCTGTTCTCCCTGTTTTGGCTTTCTCTGTTTTTGGGCTCTATAATCTCTCATTTCCATTCCTGGAATTTGCCTGTAATAAATTGAGCATGCATGTATCAATATCTCTTAAGATCAAAACTATAAAGGTATGGATGGGCAAGAAAGAAATAGTAAGACATACCTAGTAGGGAAAGAAAGAAAGAAAGAAAGAAAGAAAGAAAGAAAGAAAGAAAGAAAGAGAAAGAAAGAAAGCATTATGGTGCCTGTATGTTATTATAATAAGGATGGTTTGCAAGGATGAAACAGTATTGAGGTATAGTAAATGAATATAGCTATTTTTCTTTTTCTTATGTCATGTACTTGATATTTTTTTGTGTGGATAATTACTTCTTTCCAAAACTCTGCACAATGTTTTTTTTATTCCAAACCTGTCAGGTACCTATATATGAGCATAGTGGAATGACAGGAAAGCTGAGACATTGACAAATCAAGAGGAAGGTGCAAGGGGGATGAGTTAAAGCATTGTAATGCAAACTCTATCCATTTGTTTGCAATGTTGCATTGCTAGTAAAAAGGGCAAAGTTTGGATTGTGGCTTAATGACTTATATTTATTACTTTGGGTCTTCATAGGAGCAGACACTAATGATTCAAAAAATGATGTACTGCAGTAAATCTCTTGGTGATCCCTCCATTCTGCATATTAAGTGGGTCAAGTCCAGAAGACCCTATTCATGGCCCCAGTTCTATAAATTGCTTTCATCCAGAAGTTAGACTTGCCCTACTGTTGATTGCTTTCCAGAAGCTTTTAAAGACCAAATTCCTCCAGAGAAAGTATCTTGCTTTGTGCTCTGGTTATTATGGAAGTAATTCATAATTTATTATTTATTTAGTTATTACATTCCAATGGTAGTGTTTTTTATTCTGTGCATTTTAATTTATTTAATTCACTTAGTCATTATTTAGTCGTAGTGCTTATTTTTTTTCGTACGCTGTAACCTGTCAGGAATTTTTGTGAAAAACAGCAGTACTTTAGAAGAAGAGAGAGAAAAAGTCAGCAATGGATGGGTTTCTTAATACCAAGCATGAGAACAATCAAATCTGTTAGAGATGAGGAAATTGATACAATCCCAAGTTTGTTTACTATGATACTACAGATACATTTAATATCTTTTCATTCAGCAACCATTCAAATTTACAGCAGTACTTGCATGACTGTTATTTACATCCAGTCAACCTGCACAGCCATTGCACCCTCCACAGAGTCATGTGATCAAAATTCAAGGGCTTGGCAGCCTGCAGAAACTTATCCCCACTTCAAATACTCCCACTGCCTATCTCCCCCCCCCCCCCCCCCCCCCCCTCCCACCCCCCCCCCCCCCCCCCCCCCATTTCTGTCCTTTTGACCATTTTGTGCAGCAGCACTTCCACAGATAAATGGCAATCCAATCTCTTCTTGAAAGTCTCAAGCGATGACGCTCCCACAACTCTTTGGCAGTGGTGGCAGCACCAGCGCTGAGGCAGAGACCTGGGGCCTTCAGGAGTCTCAGACATCCACCCTTAACCCCAGGCTTCTACTTCAGCTCCAGTACTATCACCACTATGGAATCGTCACCATGCATTATGGTCAAAAGGGTTAGGGAGAGGAAGGGGGAAGATAGGCAGTGGGAGAGAAATAAAGGGGCAGCAGATGAGACAGTCCCTTATCTTATCAAAGTTCAGGGCTGAAAGGGTTGAATTGGGAATGACATGGATCATGGTGGGTCCTCTCATAATGATTGCTGAGATTCAGTTAATGACAGCAATAGAGATTGTGGAGATTGCTGCGGCAAAGAAATGTGGTCACATGACATTGCACTTTATGATTGCATAGGTTAAGGATAGGAATTCCAGCTCCAACTCCACCATAGTATCTACTCCTGTAGATACTTGCTTCTAGATGTGAAAGTTTAAAATTCAGTTTAGAAGATACCAGCTTTGAGAACAAAGATACGCAGAGATTATAATGATAATCAGATTTCTATCCATGTTTTGGCAGGAAGCCTAACGTTGTCTACAATGTCCACATAACAGTGTATGACAGAGGGAGAGACATTAATACCCAGTTTATCAAGGACACAACCTGGGAAGGTAATTCATGTGATCTGGCCTTGCCTCATTCGAAGAAGTCTGTGTTGGTGAAAAACTCGGCAAGCTACAATTATTTTCCGTTTTGATTTTTGATTTGTTTGTTTATCACCTAAAATAATATAAAGTATATATAGTGCTTTTATTCATTCTTTGAAACACAAATCCTAATCATTCCATCTTATTAAAATTTTTGAAAAATAAACCTTTATGCTAAATGATTCATATTAAATTGCCATTAAGGCTAGTACAGGTAATCCTTGACCATTCATTTAATGACTATTCAAAGTTACAGCAGCGCTCAAAAAAGTGACTTACGACTGTATTTCACTGTTTTCATTGTTGTAGCATCCCTATGGTCAAATGATCAAAATTCATATACTTGGCTACTGGCAAGTATTTATGACAATTGCCATGCCCCATGGTCATGGGATCACCTTTTATGACCTTCTAACAAGCAAAGACAATGAGGAAGCCAGAATCACTTAACAGCCATGTTACTAACTTAATAATCTGTGATTCACTTAACAACAAAGGTTGCAAAATGAGGAAAAATTCAACAACTGTCTTGCTTAGCTTGGAAATTTTAGGCTCATTGTGATCATAACTCAAGGACTATCTGTAGTGGATCTTCATATATAATTAAATATAGTTTTAAATTGAACATTGCTTCATTTGTGAAGAGCTTCACGATCAAAAATGACCCCCATAGTACTTCATTCAAGCACTACTATACTGAAACCTTGCATACACCCCTTTGCAAAACTGCCTCACTACAGAATAAATTAAACTGGACAAAATAATAATACATACTGTGATTAAAAATGTGGAGCGGTGGGGGACTGTAGTTAGTCAGGGAACACAACAAAAAACATGCAACGTTTGAGAGTACTTCAGTTATGAGGTCAACACTACAGGCTTAGCAGAAATATTGTAATTATACAGAATTCTAGAAATAATTTTTATGGTCCAAGAGAAAAATGAGACGGGGATGCCTAGAATCTGGGCGTACTGTACAGAATATTTTACCATTAATGTACTGATTTGGTCTCCAGCTAAGATAAATTGTGCTTAGTGCTAATTTTAAGTCCTAGTTTTAATAGTCATATAAGATAATATTCTCTCCTTGTCCCATTTCTGGAAGTATTTAAAAAATAATTTTATTAAATTTCAAAAAATAAAAAGTTAACAAAATTACAACAAAAAAGGAAAAGTGGGGGAAGGAAACAGCAATGAAAACTTTTAAAGTGGCATTAAAAAAAAGTACACAATAAAATAATCAATCAGTGTGTTTTGAATCCACACACTTTTGAGGTTCTCTTTAACTTCATTCTGTTCACTCGGTTTTATGTGGTTTCCAGAACCATCTTTCTTCTGCCCAATTTCTATCCCATTGTACTCTGTTCCATTACTTCTGTTAGTAGATGAGTCTATCTTTGATATATTTTCATAAACATATTTGTTTTTCCTGCACTGATTCTACTTTCATTCTTATTTTTTTCACCTTTTTTTTCATACTACCAAAATGTTTAGAAGCTGTCATCACTCTTGAATATAACACTAATTCTCTCACAGTCCAACCAAATCTTCAGAGAAAACTGAACTAGAAGTTTAGGTTTTTTTGGCTCTTTTCTTCTGGAAAATATTTGCCATCTGGAGAATTTGGAGTGGAACAATTTCTGCCACCACAGGCATTAACAAATTATTCTTTTGCCCTCAAAATATGCCCCCAAGACTGTAAAAGTGCACATCTCTTGCTCTGCTGTAGGGTTGCACTATTACTGAACAAGGGGTTTTCACAAGACTCAGAACAGATCATTGTCCATTCTTTGTGAAGCTTTGCCTTCAATTCTATCCAATTTCAGCCAGTTGTGGAAATAATTAATGCATGGTATTTTACTTTTCAGATTGCGTAGTGTGCTCAGGGCTCTCTAGAATTTGCACTGTTTTCAACGTCATGAAGTGTGACAGAGTTCCTGTCAGCAAACTCCTATTTGTACTTCACACTCTCAAGATCCTAGTGACCAGAGATGAGATGTATTGTGCTCTTCAGTTAATGAATGTGGATGGTATGTGATAACCCTGATCCAAAGGCTTTTGTGTTGTTAGCAGTTATTTAATTTACAGTGCAAGCTATCTGGGGAAAGCTGATATCCTCATGAAATTAGAAGATTATGTCAATGTATGCATCAATTTCAGTTTGTCTGATTTATTAGCCCTGTGCAATGGAGGTTGTGCAAATGACAGCCAGATTTCCTGCATGCTTAGATCACTGAATAAATTACAGTCTGGGGATAAGAAAATAATTTAACCTGCAGTAGAATTTTTAGAACTATTATCTGGTATCTTGGACTGCTTCTGCATTTATACAATATGTTTAACTTGAGGTCTGGATTAGTCTATTACAGTATTTAGATTTGCAAATTGAATAATAAACTGATCAAACAATCTGAGTACACTGAACATTTTGAACCAAAACAAGGTTAACATTAATCCAATTTAGCATGTTGTGCTAATTGTCAGATACATCTTTACTTGATATGGCTACCTGTATTGTGCAAACACACCAGTTGAATGGAATTACAAAATCCACTGAGTCAGAACCAAATATATCACATTTTAATTGCGCATAATATATGACATTCAGCCATTATAATAAGTCATGCTGACTGAATATTTCCAAGTCATCCCATGTATGTTCTATATTTGGCCAGTGGAGATGTGTGTGTGTGTGTGTGTGTATGTGTGTGTGTGTGTGTCCCCATACATGCCCAACCCTATAATATTCCTCTAGATGCCCTGATCTAACCTTCCCTTTATCCTGTTATGCTTACTTTGTAGATCTTCCTAGTTCATCAACTAAGTTTGAAAGGTCACATCTTATACACCCCAACTGTTACTCTGTCTGTCAACCTGCTTATCTGCATATATTTATGTCACTCCCACTTGTAGTCTTTCTTCTTTCTTACAGTACTTGGGACTGTGAATTTATCAGAGTTTTTGGAAGTTGTGAACAGGACCTCACCATTTTCTCAAACAGAAGGTATGAGAAGAAAAACTGAGGCAATAACAAGGAAAAATGTTTGCACCATTGTTACTGTATGGCATAATTCTGTTTCTTTATCTCTGTTTGTACTTCCATCACCTGAAAAATATCTGCTGCTTTTCCTTTTTTAAATATAAAAAAACGAACATCACTCTTGTGATAACGTGCATATTTGTTTTATTTTATGTTTTTAGCTGAATGAGAATAAAAACTGGTTGCCCTTCAATAAGAGCAAAGAGGAAATTCTGATTGACTGCTTAATTTTGTTCAGTATGTTACATGAATTACACTCTGATATTTGGTTGCTTTCATAGCTAATGTCATTTATGATGGAATAATCACCCAACTCTCTTGATATTAGACATAGCTAAATTAAGAATAAGGTTGCTTGAGCACATCTTAAATTATTGTATAGATTTTTGAAAATGTATTCTATAGATTTCTGACATTCAATTGAGAGAAGGAAGCCTGCATAGGAAAGTCATACTTTTCATGTTTCGTCTCTTGATTTATGAGTAATTAATTGAAAGCAAAGCAAGCTTTTCCTCTCATTTTCGTCTTCTGCCTTTTGCCATGCCTTATATTTATATCTGTCTAGTCAAATCACAGTAGCAACTCTATTGGGTTTTTTTTGTTCACCCCAGCTCGTATTTTACACTTTAGTGTCCATGGCAACAGTTGGCTGAAGTCGGTTGGCTTGCCCTCTATGTCATCTTCACCCTTAGCTACAACTACTAATCATTGCTATAGAAGCTGGCATTTGTTTCCCCCTTTCTCTGCCTCAGAAGTTGAGGGAACAGAGATTCTTGCAGTTATCCCGTCCTTTACTTTTCAGTTGAAGTAACTATCCATCGTGCCCTCTGCCACAGTGCTGAACAAGAAGCTGAACTCTTGGGATGCATTTCAAATCTGTATTCCTTTGGGATCTACTACTCTTGCTGGCAAGGCACTTTAGGATAGAAGGTATTGGCTATGAGTTGAAGTTGGAATCTGCAGAACTCATTCTCTCACAATACACAAACATATGAAGTCTCCTTGTTCTTCACTAGTTGTCAGCCTGACCATGGAGGTATCAACAATATTATTGCATCCCCTTTCTTCCCCTTACTGCCTCATAAAAGTCAGACAGACACTTGTGTTGCTTGAACGAGATGAATTAGATATAGGGTACGTATGACACATCTATGGCTTTTAAAGAAAGGGTTGAAAATGCATGATTTCAGGATCTCCATCTCTCTGCATGGAAGCATCAGTTATTGCTGTCTTTCTCTGGTGTGTTTCTTCTAGGCTTCCAGAATACCCTCTGGGCTTTCAAGAAAATAAAGAAAGATATGGTTTGTATTGATGATCTGAGGTTAATCCTGGAAAACCTTGAAGTCAATCTGAGTTGTGAAACTATGCATGATGCAATAAAATGCACTCATATTAATAGTGAGTATCTCCATTTGACATTTCCCTCCGCCCCGCACTCCACAAATGATCCAGCCTAAGAGGAATCTCATATCAAAATAGAATCTCAAGGCAGACCATCCAGCATTAATCTGGGTAAATAGCTCCGACTGTTATGATGGGCTTAGCTGGTTTAGGTTTATAAAAGTTTGAAGTAGGATTTTGAATCATGCTCAGAAATCTATTCAAGTTATTAGCAAATGCTAGGGATGACAACATTCCTTCTTCTCTTTATGTAGAGAACAGGCTTTTGAACTTCAAGGAATTTCTTCTGGCTGTAAGGGAACTACAGAAACGTCCTGAAGAAGAAAGTGAGTTGTCTGGTGGCTCTTAGTCAATCTGTGGAATAAGTTCTTGGTGCTCAGTTCCATCTTGTTCTTGCAAGTGAATTAATATACTAATATAATAATATGTTGACCTTTGCAACTTCCATCCTAAACCTAACACTCTGGTTTTTTACAGAGAAATTATCTCTTTCAGAATGTTGTAAACTATACTCAATTAGAGTGACCCATACTCAAGAGAGATACAAAAGACTGAATTCTGGAGAGGTGGTTTCTTTATATTTCCCTATATAGGTTGGGAGATGTTTTATTTTAAAAAAACAAACATAGAAATTATGCATTAATACGTGAATGCTTCCTATATCCTATTCTGTTGTTATCTCTATACTATTACTACATAGTGATCATAATAACTATGATAGTAACTATGATAATTATGACAATTACTATACTCTATACTGGAAAACCTTGAAGTCAACCTGAGTTGTGAAACTATGCATGATTTAGCATATTAATCTATGATTATTACAACTATTACCTATTATTATATTACAATTACCTATGTACTATGCTTGACAGTATTGCTAGAATACATCAAACTTTCTTTTTTAAACTTGTTCTATCTTAAGTCACCTCTCTCTGAGATTTCTTGTTTTTCTGTTAATAGGCAGCATGGAGACGTCTTTTTTATATTATATTAATATTTTTATATTATATTTTATATTTTTACATTAAGTCTTTTTTATTGATATATTATATTATAGCTTTGTCTGCTAGGCCTTTATACTTTTTTTCCCTCCCTTTTGGACCATTCACTCTTTCTGAAGGAAAAATGCCTAATTTCATTTGGCTCTTGACTAAATTTCTAGTGGGTGCAAATATACACACATACATACACACACACAAACACACACGTATATAGAATATGTATAAAATGTATACATATATACATATTATATATACATATATACATATTCCTATGTGTGTGTGTGTATGTATGTATGTATGTATGTATGTATATATGTGTATATATCTATCTATCTATCTATCTATCTATCTATCTATCTATCTATCTATCTATCTTTGGTTATTCGGGTTTTCTCCCATGTAAGATTGGAAGTATCTAGGCAACGTTTCGATGAAGTCTCATTCATCATCTTCAGGCTTGTGTCTTCGGCTCTGTGCTTCTCAGCTTCACTCTTCATAAGGACATGGGATAGGCAGATGTTCCTTGATGGTGAGAAATGTGCTATCACAGGATGTTAAATGGTTGCAAGGGAAGCTGTCTTTTGCATTTAGCTGCTGGGGATTTTTTCAATGCCAGTGATGAGGTGGTGCTCCAGGTGTTGTGAGATTACAAGCTTATTGATACTACCTTTGCTTTCTTTTGCTACTGTTGCTCTACTCCTCTTTTCAGGTCTTTGTGTTTTTCTTCCTCTCCTATTCTGCTGTCTTCAGATAGTGCAATGTCCACTCCCCAGCCTTTTGTTTTGTTTTGTTTTCTTATTGATATTTGTTAAATCTGATGTAGCAGCACTTGTCTGTTCGAATTTTAGGGTCCCAGATCACTTTAGCTTCTTTTCTTTCTGTTACTTTGTCTATTTTATAGTCTCAACAGTTCTTGCTTGCAGGCAAATAGTACTTTTTGCAGTTATTCCAATGAACCATTGTTGCTAAAGTTGTTTGTAGTCAGTTGGTGCTACTATTTCTTCAACTTCTTTGCAAAAGCTGCATTTACTGTCCATTGCTGCCTTCTCCACTTTGGCTTTATATGTATTTGTTCTTAAAGCTTTTCCACAGCCAGAATTAGCTCCTCTGTTTCTTTCATCAGCTTCTATGCTCTTAATCATTACAAATCTCATTATTATCTACTTTGCCTTCTTTTTTTTTAATTTACCAAATAAATTAAAGTAATACTTTTCATTGCCACATTTCTTTGCTATTCTTTATTTGGTCTTTCTTACAAACAGTTTGCTATCTTTAGTAATTGGTAACCCTTCATTACATAGTTTCAGTTTGTCCTCTTTCCTGTCCTTTAGATATTCTTCAGGTGCCTTTTTTCTTCTGCAACTGTGTACTTATAACATTTCACACCTATCTATTTTCCTTAATAAGTTGAATCTGTCAACATTGCTACATGGATGAAGGCCATGATTCCTTGTCATTATTTTTCTCACCTTCCTGTTCAGCTGTGTATCTAATGACTAGAACTGCCTAAATGTTAATTGCCTCAGAGGTATTTTATCCACTGGCTTTGGATTCCTCCCATTTATTCTCATGAAATATTCACTTCTAACCTTCTTCTTGACTTCAGTGTGCTTGATGTTGTCAGTTTGAAGGATGCCCTGGTATTTGTAGTGATCATCTTCCTCCAAACTCTTAATATTATTTCCATAGAGTCTCTTGATTCCTTCAGTTTTCACCATTTTCCTCATTGATAGTGAGAGTGGTATGTTTGTCAGTCCAAACATGATTGCAATATCTGTTCTGTATATATAGACAACATTGAGCAGTGACTCTATTTCAGATTATTGTTCATGCAAAGGAGGTTTTGATATTTAAAGCCATGGCATGACTTGCTCAGTATTGTTGACTCAGAAATCAGTGCAATGACAAACAGTAATGTGGTAAGAGTAGGTCTCCTTGAAAAATTTCTCTCTTGATGTTAATCTCATTTAGTCAATCACCACTGACTAGCAACTGTTCTTCCATTGTGCTATAGATCTTTATACAACATTTCTGATGTTTCTATTGATTCCTGTTATTTTGAACTATTTGAATATCCAATGTTCAAGTGGTTCTCCAATTCTTTTGGGATTGTACCTAAGGCACTTATTATTATTGGTACTACTTTTATTTTCTTTTGCCACTGTTGATTATTATTATTATGCTGATTGGCTTATGTTAAAAATACATTATCTTTTGAAGTTGAAAGTCTTTATTTCTCCTGACAGTATTTCCGAGTGAATACGCCCTCTTGGAACGGAAGCCTTTTAAGGATGTGACTGGGCTTGTCGGTGCTGATTCTAGGTGGAGAAGAAAGTACCAAAGCTATTTTGATGATGAAACATCTGAATCCACAACACCATACTTCTCAGGACAGCTGAGTTCAAGTTCAGCTACATATAGTGATTTCACTGAACTCAACAGCAATTCATTTGATCAGAGTGTCTTGAAAAATGCACAGGCAGATGATAATCAGAAAATCACAATAGTGAAAATTTTGCAATCAGATATTTCTGAACAAAAAGAGCCAAGCACTGCATTTTCTGTAGACCATGATGAAGGCAACACAAAAGAATCTGACAACGTGGAAGAGAGAAAGTCAATGACAGATATTGCTCTTATAGAAAGCACCAATGCTGAACATGACTTAACAGAGGAGAAAAAATCCATATCTGATACTCCTGATCAAAATATCCCACCTGATCAAAATATCCCACCCAGTCAAAATATCCTACCCGATCAAAATATCCTACCCGATCAAAATATCACACCTGATCAAAATATCACACCCAATCAAAATATCATACCCGATCAAAATATCACACCTGTGGATAATGCAGAGGGCAAAGATAAAGAACATGACATTGTAGAGGAAATATCTTAGAATTCTATTCTTCAATTCAGGCTACTTGGCTTCCACAGATTACTAGTTGACCTACGTGTTAAGAGAAGTTGAGTTTTCTGAATTTCTGAAATTTCTGAATTTCCACCAACTAATCTAGTATAGGGAAATCTCAAGTCTTCTCTGATATTATGTGCACCCTTTGCCCGGCCATATAATCAGCAGGAGAAAATTTCTAAAATCGAAGATGTTAGGAAAGGGAGTCAATTTCTCCTGAAAGTGGAATAAGCTGGGGAGCGATCCAGGGTTATTTTATGTGACTCATTGTACATGATTCCTTGACAGACCTGAATAAAATTCAGCAGGTGTGTGTCTTTCTAAAGCATTTTAATGTGCTTATTTGTTTTTTTATTGCTGTCTGGCAATACTAATATTTTTAAGATCCTTGTTGGGTTACAAACTGTTAGTGCCCCAGGGGAAACAGGAGTACAGATAGTCTTACTTGACTTACAATTCTGATGACCTAGGGTGGGATACAAAACAAACATAGTCATAAAAAACAGGTGAAGCCCCTTTTATTTCTTCATTTTGCTTCCAAGCTCTGAATATTATTAACAGAACACAAAAAACTCCCACACAAACAGTTACAAGAAGAAGGAAAAAAGCAACACAAAGCAGGCAAGATAAGGGCAGGAGGACGTCCATAGATAACACACACTGGAAACTACGCCAAACTCAGAATGGAACCATAAACTAGAGATATTTCCACAGTTAGTTTCCAGTGTTCGCCCGTACACAGGTCCAACCTCTTATTCGGTTGTCACAGCTACAGCCTATGAAGAGGATCAAGGCCCTCTCCTTCTGAGTAGACCATGTCTCTCCCTTATCCTCTCCTGCCTGCGTGCCCTAGAATGGAGAGGGGATGGGCCTGGGTCATCCTCTGACTGCTTAGCAGGCCTCTGCCCTTCCGCAGCCTCCTCCACAACCTCCTCCACAACCGCCACACTTCCACTCCCTTTAGGCTGTTCCTCCTCTCCCTCAGAGTCAGTCTCCATCAGCGGCATGACAACAACCATCTGTTTAGTGATCATTCAAAATTGCAACAGCACTGAAAATAATGACCTCTGGTCATTTTTCACACCATTGCAGCATCCCCATGATCAGGGGATCAAAATTTGGATACTTAGCAATTAGCTCATATTTATGATGGTTGCAGTGTCCCAGGGTCATGCGATCACCATTTGTGAGCTTCTGACAAGAACTATCAATGGGGAAGCTAGGTTCACTTAACAACCATGTTACTAACTTAATAAGTGCAGCGATTCACTTTATAATTGTAGCAAGAAAGGTCATAAAATGGGGCAAAACTCACTCAACTGTCTTGCTGAGCAACAGAAATTTTGGGGACCATTGTGGTTATAAGTTGAAGACTAGCTGAATCTTATAGTCCAAAAGTAAACCAATCCATTTCCCTAAATGTTTTTAATGTGTATATTTGCTTTAAATTCTCATTAAAAAAAAATTATCTCCCCACTCAACGTAAACCTTTTAAGTATTGAGTTAATGGTTACAGACACAGTGAAATTGAAGTTTTGCTATTCTCTAAGTTACTGTAGGCCAGTAACTGTTGTTCTCAGAAATCCATTCTGAGGCCGGCTCTGTGCTTCTGGAGCTGACTGTGAAAACTTCATAAAGACACAAAGCAACTTCTTGTATAATTAAGACTAATTCGCAAAAAAAAAATTCTATCATACATAAACTAGTTGTTTAAAAAAAAGAAAAGTTGGTTTTAGCATTCTTTCTCTCCATGTATCTAAGTTTATTTCATCTACCATTTTAAAAAAAGATTTAGGGAGAGTCTTTCTGTTTTGCTTTACTGTTTTCTGTGTTGTATAGTCCAATTTATTGTCTACAATTCCATTAAAACCTCCCATCATAACTATATTAGCATAGTACAGTTCAATTATTTTCATATGTAATTTTTTGTAGAATTCTTCTTGTTTGTCATTTGGAGCATAAATTGCAATCAGGAGTGTTTTCATATTATTGTCCATTATTTCCACCATTAGTATTCTTCCATCATCATCGGTATAGATCAATTTTGCTGGGGTGGTCTCTTTAATATATAAAACCACTCCTCTTTTCTTACATTGGGTCAAGGAAGTAAATATTTTCCCTAGTTTTGGCTGTATCAACAATTGTTTATATTGTTTTTTAATATGTACTTCTTGTAGACAAATTATATCAAATTTTAATTTTTCTAATTTATGAAAGGTTTTCCTTCTTTTAACGGATGAGTTAAGTCCATTTATATTAATTGTAAACAATTTTTTCTTTTCCATGGTTATATTTTATAGTTAGGTTTAGCAGCTCTCATAGATCTTAGTTCACGTTGTTCTTTGGCTTCCACCTTTCCACCTACTGCGCCTTCTTTTTCAGTCACCATTTGGCAGTCCTCTTGGAATTCAATTAGTGAGATCTCTTTTTCTTCCTCTTTCCTTCCAAAAAATTCTGTATAAAATAATTCTGCTTTCTCAATTGAGTCAATTCTATGTCTCTGTTCTTGCCATGTGAACATTAAACCTTCTGGAATCAGCCATCTATAATTCACCTGTTTTTAAAGTAGCATTTTAGTCAGGAATCGGTATTCTCTTCTCATCTCTCTCACTCTTCTGGGTATTTGTTTCAAGACCACAATCTCCTTGTCTTTGTATTTCAATGTTTTCTCTTTTGCCACTTGCAATATTTGCGTTTTAATGGCTTTCTTTGTAAATCTAATGTGAACTTCTCTTGGTAAGCGATTTCTCATTGCATATCTTGTGAAAACTCAATAAACCTCATCTATTCCATCCATCATCTTCTCTTGAGTTATTTCCAAAGCTTCAGCCAGTATTTCTATCATTATCTCAGCTAGGTTTTGTCCTTTTTCTTCCTCTACGTTTTGGAATCTAAGATAGAATTCTGATCTATCCATCTCCCATTTCAACATACCACTTTTATCTTGTTCAACCACCATTAATCTATTATCAATATCTCCAATCTTCTTGTCTCTTTGTTTATCTTCTTCAATTTTTTGGAATCTCTCACCATACTTCAACATCATTTGTTGGATGTTCTCCACTTTTTCATCAATTTTCCCTGTTCTTTTTTCAATATTCTCTGTTCTTTGTTCAATGTTCTCTGTTCTTTGTTCAATGTTCTCTATTCCCTTTTCAATATTCTCTGATCTTGCTTGAATATTTTGAATTCCTTGCATAATCATCTGCAGAATCACTTTTTCTTGTTCTTTTTCTTGCTTTAACATTGTCTGTATTGAACGTTGTCCTCCAGATGGTGGAGAGGAAGTAGTAGAAGTTGAAGAACCAGGAGCTGTTAGTTTCCTACTCATTTTAAGCAATTCAAAATCTTCAGGTTCTTCTAAACCTTAATCCAATTGTGAAGTAACCAATTATAGTTCAAAATAAAAATAGTAGAAAAAAGAAGCCCAATAATAATAAGAAAAAAAAAGAAAAAAAAGGGAGGACAAAATTTCTTCAGGTTCTTGTATACCTTAATCCAATCAATGGTTAGATAAAGAAAAAGACTTTAGAAAAAGAAAAGAAAAAAAAGGAAAAATTCTTCAGGTTCTTCAACACCTTAATCTAACTGAAAGGTCTCAAATAGAAAAAAGTGCATAAAAATAAACCAGAAAGGTAGGTGAAAAACAAAAATACCAGGAAAGGAAAAAAAAAAGGCTTTTAAGGCTTTCCCTTTAAAATATAAAGAAAACATAGAGATTGGACTTACAAAAAGAAAAAAGAAAAATAAAAATAAAGACAAGCTCCAACAAAGCCAAAACCCCAAATAGTTATTACCAAAAAAAAAAAAAAAGATTAAAAAAATACAATAAAGCTGGTGAGGAGGGATAGCACAACTTAGGAAAAGTAAAAAGGGCACATTGCACTTGGTTTGATTATCCAAGGCTCTTATTATAATTCTCTTCTCCAAAAACTTATCACCTTTTTTCCCCCTACGTTTCAACACCAGACTCCAGCTGTTGATAGAAACCCAGAAGTGCCCCTGCAATAATACTCTCCCATGCTCTTCCCTCTATCTTATCAAATAGCAATGTCCTTCAAAAAGAGTCTCAGTTCTTTCTTTCTCAGCTTTGTCTGGTCGCAGGGAAAAGAATATTTTCAAGCCTCTAGTTGGCAGTGTTACAAAGTTTCTTTGCTCTCACTTTCCCCCTCCTTTTCCAAGCAGGATATAATAAGAATTAATAAAAAGAAAGAAAAAGATATTTAAAAAAAAATAAAAAATAAAGGGAGCCTCTAGCCTAAAATATTACAAAATCAAAAAGGAGAAGAAAAAAATAGATATAAATGAAAAAACAAGTCCAGTTTCAAAATACAAGATCATATATAGAAAATCCAGCAATGAGAAAAAAACAAACATTACTTTGACATTCCTGTTTAAAATCGCCGCCTAATCACTTCTGTCAAAATTTTTACAGATTCTTTTCCTTAGGGTGTCCTTTCAGATCTTAGAATAAAAAAAAAAAGTTCTCACCAAACTGGCACACTCTCTCTTTCTGCTCTCTTCCGTTTCAGAGCTGTCCCAACTTCAGCAGCTTTAATGGCTGCCTCTTTGCCGCTGGCAAGAAGAGCTTCTCCTGGATCTACCAGGGACTTTGCAGTATCCCTGGGATCGACAGGATGCGCTCTTCACTTTCACCATCTCTTTGAGACAGTTTAGATCTGATAAGACATCCAGGAGCAAAGATATTGGCAGCGATCTCAGACCTCCAAGATCGCATGCTGTATCATTGCGACGCCAGTGAGAAAGAAATGCTAAAACTAAACAATACACCTTCTATTCAAATAGACACTTATCATGGTCCAGAATAGATATGATATGGATGTCAGCAGAATTAATATCTAACATTCAAGAAATAAATATTGAAACAAGTACTTGGGCAGATCACAATCCAATGACAATTAAATGGAAAGTACAAAAAAGAAGATCTAGATGGATGTTAAATAATAATATTTTTAAGGAAAAAGACTTCACACAGTGGATGGAGAAAGAATTGGCATTTTTCTTTAGAGAAAACAAAAAAGAAGATACATCAATTCAGAATGTATGGGTTACAATGAAGGCATATGTTAGAGGCTTGATAATAGACTATACAAGGAAAAGGAATACTATGAAAAAATTAGCCTCTAGGGCCCTAGAGGATGAGCATAAAAGACTTGAAAAAGAGATACAGAAAATGCCACAGAAAAAGGACATCAAGCTAAAAATGGATATAATTAAACACAAAATGGGTCAAATAAAAAAAGAAGAATTAGCACAGAAAATTAGAGGTGCTAAGCAGAACTACTTTGA